CTTATCGAACCGGCTCGTTTTGTGTATGGTGGGCCTACATGCTGGTACGGTATGCTATGCAAAATTGTAGCTCGATAGCTTGGCTGCAGCTGCCTCTATGAATTTCGTGACAGACAGACAAACACACACGCACAAAAAAGACAGACGTTTAGCGCTTTATTATAAGTCACCAGTGCGTCACCTCTGCTTCGCAGAGGTTCGCACTAGCCCCTACTTTCTGTATGCCTTACTCATTCCCGCATAATAGTGACATTGAAACTCAACGTGCTATGCCGACTATCACGAATGAAATGTAAACAAATACTCATTTAGAAAGCTTTTTCACGTGAGATTGGTGATTTTGCATGAAAAAAACTTTTCGCAGGAAGATAAAGGCAAATTTGAATAGGTTTTTGAATTTTTCATGGTTCGATAGACGCCATAAAGGCAATAGTCACAGTAAGCTACATCTCTGTGCGAAATTCCTCTCAAATGCTTTTCTAGAACCTTGGCAAATTGACCATTTACCCCAGCAATACTTTTTGGCGCCGTTTTTGTAAAGTAATGGACTTTCGGTCACTTATCTGGGCCTAAGTTCATGGCTTGCACATTTCCCTGCCATAAACACACCACTCTGCAAAAAGTGGAGTTACGGACCCAATTGTGGGCCAAATGCAAAGTGGATCCGTTTGACGCGCATTTTTCAACAAACCCACTCAACAAAACTGCTTGTGCTTTTGCATTGGACTTTCATGCCAGTAGCAACTGCTATGCAAAATTTGAGTCCAGGACGTTGGCTGGAACACGCTCTACGAATTTCGTGACAGACAGACATTCAGACAACACACAAAAACACGTAAACACTCTAAGCGCGTTATTATCATGACTTATAATAAAGCGCTAAACGTCTGTCTTTTTGTGCGTGAGTGTTTGTCTGTCTGTCACGAAATTCATAGAGCAAGCTGCAGCCAAGCTACGAGCTATAATTTTTCATAGCATACCACACCAGCGTGTAGGCCCACCATACACAAGGACGAGCCGATTCGATAAGCTGGTCCTTCAAAAATTGCGCTTCAAACGGGAGTGCTCAGAAAGTTTGCTTTTCCGCGAAAACAGCGCCAAAACGTAGTGATCGCGTAGAGAATCGATTTGACAAGGTTTTACATAAATACCTGAAAAGATTTTGCATGGAAATGTAGCCCAAATTGACAATTATCTTTATAATAATTATCAAGCCAAAATAAATTCAATAATCTGTTCGAATTCGTACTTAATCCTTGGCAAGAAAGTTTTCTTTCTCAAAATTACCGATCTTAAATGGAGATGCTTCAAGAATGAACAGTTGTTTACAATTCACTTATGATGTACAGCCTCGCGCAGTGAGTTTCAAAGTCATCATTTTGGGAGCATGAATAAGGCATACGGATAACAAAGCCAATGCGAACCTCCGCGAAGCGGAGGTGACGCACTGGTAATAGGATGTAAAATAGGTAACATCCCTTTGAACAGTTGCTTTTGAGCAATTTAGTTTCGTGCATAAAACTCTATGCCGAAGTTTGAGCTAACTGTTAGTTGATGCAAATCAAGGAAATCAGTCGAAAATGACCATAGACAATGAAAGTTGTTGAATGTTTGACTCTAACATTCGTCGCTGTATAATCTAGTGCACAAATCTCTAAATTTATGTTTACGATACGATATGTTTACGATGTTTACGCACTGATAGTGCGTAAACACTGATAGTGTTTACGCACTATCAGTGCGAGCCAAAAGCCGCCTAGCGAGAGGATCGCGATTAGACTACACGAATGGGTAAGTGGACGCTGATGAAAAAAAACTTATACGCTGAAAAGCGCCTTCGAAAACGAGATCCTTGAAAATGACTCTGCTCTCGATTCTGTACATCTCAGTCAATGGAGGAGCATTCTAGAGGAGCTTTGCCTAGTGAATCTGTCTAAATTTTTATCACAAAAGACTTACAGGACATGCCTCAGCAAAAGGAACCCTTTCATGCTTTAGTGGTACCAGTTCACGCCATAATTTGTGCAAAAAAGACGAATTGGTTCCTCGAGTTAGGTGAAAATAGCCTAGCATCGCCATATCTCGCTCCATGTGGAAGATTTTAATTCAGGGGACCCATGTAAACTTATGCGCAGCCCATCTTCTGTCCTGATGTATAGAAGTGCCTGTGAGTACTGTAGGTTTATGGAAGACAGTCATTTTTCACAGTCTTGCAACTTTTTGCAACAACAACAACAATTTTTACAACTTGCATCAGAAATTGGCAGTACTGAGTAACTCATTTTTTAAAGTTCTGTGAATGATGAGTATAATAGATGCCAACAATCTACCATTCTCAGACAATTACACGTAAATGACATGCGGTGCACTGAGCTGACAAGGAGAGGATAACTTGAGCTGGCCTTATGAAGTATGTTATGCATCAGAATATTCGCCTTGAAACGCTAACTCAAGACTATGTTCATTACCTGCGAAACGTTTTCTGAGAAGAGATAGCGCTTGTAAAAGCAAACGCAAAATTATTGCACCGACAGAGATCAAACGGGTACTCATTGCGCAATGATCACACCGCTATCTGCTAGACCATTCGACACGTTTAGCACTTATCAACATATTCGCACTATTGTGCAAACACTTCAGAGGGAGGAGACATGATCTTTCTAAATAATCGTTCCGCCGATAACAAATATATTACTGAGATCAGCATTTGAAAAGGTGAATGTCATGACATATGTCATATACGGAAAGGCGAAAGGCCACAGTCATCAAGTATCCTTTCCCCGTATGTTAAAGACAGTGGTTCGGCAAATCCTCGACGTGATTTTTTCGCTTACCTAGGGTAACTGAATGCGCTGATTCCGAAAATCCACCTCGAAGAGCGCGAAAACGGCGAAAACCAGCATTTCCCGAGGCCCTTCATTTCGAAATTGGACGAGTGGAACGCTTCCTGCCATGGTTAGAGACGTAGAGTCGTTTGTGGGACCCTCATGTTCATAGCATTGCGGCATGCCGCCTCTGCCGGTGTGATAGATATCACAAGCTTGTCTGAGCGCGTGCAAGAATAGCTTGCGCGCACGGGTTTAAGGCCAATTTCCTGGCAAGAGCAGCATACGCGCGTCGGATCTGCTCCGTTCTCATGTTTGGAGTGCAAGCAACCTTCCATAAAAAAATTCGAGATGTTTTGTTTTGCCGAGCCAATGCCTTTAAATTAGGGTTTTGGATCTATGAATCGTCCACATTGCCGAAGCTGAAAAAAAAAGAAAAGGAAAAAATGAACTGAAACGAAAACTAACACTCATATCAGCGAATGGCATACATATTCAACGAAGGAAACCTTTTTACACCCACACGGTGCACATCCTTTTATGATAGGGACGAATCGTCATACAGTAAGCTTCGCCACTTAAATGAACGTTGGATGAGAAACAATGTAAAACTTGATATAGCAGCTTTTGGACGCCATCGCTCGAAAAATGGTGCAAGCAGTTTATTAGCAGTTTTATTTATAACAGTTATGGCAGTTTATGACACTCAACAATCATCGCGGACCTTATGCAAACTGCAGCTTCGTAGAGTGCACCTCTCGGATGCATGTACATCCCCACTGGAAAAGGGTGGGGATAAATAAGCCGCGTCATATCTCGCTGCTACAGAAATCTTTCTTCTTTTTAGTCCATCTATCTTATGAAGGCTTGTACCTGAGGATTCCGCAGGGGAAATACACTACACAGCACTACACAGTGAAATTCTCAGCATGCAGGCTCCCAAATCGCAGCAGTGATCTGGAACGAAATGCATACCATTAGATGCGCTTTGTTGTGCGGAATACAAATCTGCGTTATCCTTCAAGGTGGACGAGTGGCGTAGTGGTATGAGGCGCCGCTATGTCCGGTTCGGACACAGGTTCGATCCCCGCTCCTGGGCCAACCAAGCCCTCCACCCTCCGAGGGCAGCAAAGCACCAGAGTAATTTGGAAGATAAAAGCACTGACTTGTAAATGGCTGGCCACCGCAAGTCACTGTAATAGGCTCGCACGCATACAATTGCTCTTCGACTATGAAGTATAGGCTGTACCAATCATCGGTCCCGCGTTGGCATGCCTTGCGAGGACGCGCGGTCGCATGCGACGTGCCTTAACGCGTAGCAGTGTTCGCACGCGTCAAACCGCACCGTCGCAAGTTGCCGCAGGAGCGGCGTCGCATAACCGATGCGGATTGGTACAGCCTATAGTGTGCGTTCGACGTATGCCCGCAGAGGGTACTGAAGACGCCGTATCCTTTATCCTTTTATTTTATTATCTGCTTCAAGATTCTCTCGAAAAACGTTATGAGCGTTTGAAAGTTCAAATGTGGCAAAAATTCAGCAGCACCTTTTTAAGAATTAGTTATTCGAAAGCACTTATCAATGTTCCTAGTTGATGTGTGCATTCCTTGTACTCAACACGCTCAACATCTTGCCAATCATGCGCTCCCAAGCTGGATATAATGCATTTATGGGGTGGCGGTCAAGAATAACAAGCTAGCTCTCGACGCATCGGTCAGATCTTGAGAATATGAATTGTCAATAAACAACGCGTTTGACTTTTACATTGTACAACAACATAGCTGAAGTTTTGCAGTACCCGAATCTCCATTGAAGAGCTCGAGCAACCAAGTTCTCCACGGAGGAGCAGAAGAATCTCAAGCACAATCGCAAAATTTTATGTATGATCTTCTTTCTTGCTGGCAAACTCATACGTTTCTTATGAAAAGTTTTTTGGGTCTTGGTTCACTGAAAGAAACTACATGAACACCATCATTATCGCATCGGGCATTTTTGTCGTGATGGTGGTAGCAACCGTATTCGTTATTGGTTACTTTGTCGAGAAAAACAACAGAAAGCGAAAAGAGATGTTTAAAGAACAGATGGAAAAGGAAGAAGAAAAACGGAGAAGAAGGAAGAGAAAAAGTCACGCTAGTTCGAAAAGGCATAAAAATTCTGAACACGATGAACCACAACCAATGGCGAAGGTAGAAAGTATTATAGAACTTTTTTTACGTGCAAATTTGCTTCATTTGCAGAAGTCTGCCGTCACTCCTCGTGCTGATCCGGTCTGTTCACTTCAAGCTAAATTCACCATAAAGCAATTCAATCATATCTATTCAGGTGAAAAAGGCTGTCGCTGATTATTTGGAAGCCCAATTGCAGACTTGCCGCTTAGCGATAGATCCAGAGAAGGCGGGAGGTGATGTGGGAACGTTTCAACCTCAGAACGACGATTACTTTGGAAATGCTTCAACTCCCCGGCAGCCAGCGCAGACTCCGTAGCAGACAAGAAGTATTGTCAACCTCGATTTTACAGAAAACGGTCCTAATTACATTATTAACTTTTGAGTATAAGCGATAAAGATATGTTTTTTTTTGCAAAAGCTTATACAGACTACACACTGGACCGTTTGCATAACATAAGTCTAAACAAGTACTGGTTACCAACAATGAATAATTTGAGCAAATCCGTAAAGTTTTAATGTGCAAAACACGAAAAACATAGACTTCTTTCTCAAAAAGAAAATTGAACAATGGGAAGCTTCAAAAAAGATTATTTTCGCCATTTTAATGCGCTGCAAAGCCCGGAAATGGGTTTAGCATGGCGAAGGCTGCGAAAACGTATTAACTGGGAAGGGATCTTTGCCGGGACACCGCGTTCAACGTTCACAACGCAGAGTAGCACAATCCGTGGCGGAACGTTTGCAAAGTACGCTAAGTTATCCGAATGTTGGTACAGCCTTAGCAATGCCGGCTAACTGTAAAGTATTTGTAAATTCGCCCGTCCGCTCTGCACTTGTGGGTGTGATGTTATCGCCCGATGTGATCAAACGCGCCCGAGGATGTGGCGAGAGACCTGGTAGAGGAGGAGCAAACGCATACTTAATAAAACCAATACATACTGATATAAACCTCGCTGCTCTAGCGTCCGTTGCAGCTTCACAATTCTTTATCCTCATAAAGAGTGCCCTCATATTACTTCGATAGTTACCGCTAACAGCCGCAAAGGGCAGGCACGCTTCGCGAAAGCCCATTCTGCAGCGCACGTCGCGCTCATATTCTTTGCCTCACAAAACTCTCCGGTGCTAAAGTGGTAGACAATGACAAGGAGAAGCTGAAAATACGTGACATACTGCCATGAATAACACTGCGCCAGAGGCGATTGCTCTCGTATGATTGGCATTGCCGACATCGCTTCGCGAGAAAGTCGCGTTGACCGTGTTTCCTGACCGTCCCCCTTCTCCCCAGCAAGCACCAATAACCGACTTAAGATGACAAGGGCCGGTAGCCGCTTTTGTTCACATGGGAGCGTTCGATTATTGCATTATCATCCACTCCAGTGCATTCTAGTCTACGCCTGCTTTCCTCCTGCCCTTTCCTTTCATCATTCATGTAATCTGATAGGAGATGTGGCAAGTTCCAAATTTCAGCTGTTGTCAGCACTTCTGTTACCTATCTGGTTCAAACTAATGATGGTAAGATCTGTGCGTCAAGCCCCAGGCTTACTTTGTTTCACGCTGCACGATTTCTAGCTACTGTTTACAGTTACTTAACTCCAACCGTTTGTATCTTCTAGCTTTGTAACTCATCTTCCGCGCATTGAGAATGCCAGAAAATAGGTTATCTATCAAATTACAAAAGTTACACACTATGTTGGTAGCCTGCCGGTAATCTAAAAGCATCTGAAAAATTGTAAGATCACTTGGTGACTAAAATAGCGAGAGCGGAAACATCAATAGTAGCCCAGAAACATCAGTAACATCTCAGGAATCGCCGGAGGCAGGCGGTCCGCAAACTCGCGCTTTTCTGCAAGCGGTCAGCAGAATTTTGGGGCGTGGCCAAACCTTCAGCAAGCGGTACTTCCTTTACTGTCTAATGTTCTGATAGCGGGCAGCAACACAGAATTTCCTGCAGGCGCTTGTCAAATAATCTCTTTCAGCAAACGCTGGCCAAACTTTCAGCCAGCGCTCGGACTCTATTTACGCAGTTTCGGGCTTACGTCAAGCACAGGTAACACTTTGTGTGGCAGAAGTGTCACCGTTGGTTTGATTACTCAAGTTTGAGGTACCTTCTCTCAGCGGAAACTACCTGCGGGCTGCGCGGTCCCTCCACAAAGGACCGTGCGGCCCTCGAAAATTTTGCATATTCTCGCGGAAACTCCGCAAAAGCGGCCAGTGCACAGCAGCTAATCTATAAGAAAACCGCGATTGTTTTCCAAGCATCCGCCTAAAATTTCGTTAGAATTCTTCCAAATATCTGCGAAGCGGACCGCAAGAAACAGCGAACTATTTTTCCGGTGCCCGCCCGCCCATAGATCGCATGGCCGCCTGCCCCGGCGATTATCTGAGATTATCTCAAAAGTAACGCCCCGGCAGACTGTGGGATGCACATCTCTACTCAGATAATAGCCAGGAGGCGGCCATGCGATTTTTAGGCAAGCTGGCACCGGAAAAATAGTCTAATATTAGACGATGCTCGGAGAACAAACGTGGTTCTTTTATAGATTAGTCGCGGCACAGTGGCGCATTCCCGCGGACTTTCCGCGAGAATAGGCAAAATTTTCGGTGGCGCACGGTCCTTTGTGGAGGACCGCGCAGCCGCCAGGTACTTTCCGCTGAGAGAAAGTACCTCAAACTTGAGTAATTAAACCAACGGTGACACCTCTGCCACACAAAGTGTTACCTGTGCTAGCCGACGTAAGCCCGAAACTGCATAAATAGAGTCCGAGCGCTGGCTGAAAGTTTGGCCAGCGTTTGCTGAAAGGGATTATTTGACGAGCGCCTGCAGGAAATTCTGTGTTGCTGCCCGCTGGCAGACGGAAGCACCGCTCGCTGAAGGTCTGGCCCGCGCCCCAAAATTCTGCTGACCGCTTGCAAAAAAGCGTGAATTTGCGGACGCTTGCCTCCGGCGATTATCTGAGTAGTAGTGTGATAATAGGTGCCGTATATGAGCTATGACAGAAGTTAACAGTCAAAAAGGGAGTCTGCAACCTGCAAATGGCCCCCATAGTAGCCCGGTTCTTACATTCGCGTGGAAGGGGCCGCCGCAGCGTTCGGATTTGCCCACGTGCAAAAAAGCTCTTTTTGCCTTTCTAAAGCGCTGCAAACCTCATGTATAAAATCAGCGTCCCGCGAAAGCCCAAATATCGAATTTTTACCGGAAACTGTTCTTGGAGAGAATTGATTGGGATTTTTTTTTTCTATCCTGAGTTTTTTAAGCCACTCAGACCTAAGCCATATAGCGTAGTACTACTTTTTATATAGTCAGTCATCCGTTCTATCATATCCACAATATTACCCTTTAGCCTATGAATGGGTTATCTGGCCACTTACTAAATTCGACGAATGAAAATGAAAAGATATGTACGACTCGAAGTGCATGTCGCACTTCTGGAAATGATTTTCAAATCCTTGAGCAGATATGAATTGTGCGATAACGTTTTCAATCAAAATGATTTAACGAGTATAAATGTGAAAGTCAGTCTTGTAAAAACTGCCCCATTGCACTTCTAAGATTTGAGGGTCATAAGCTGTTAAACAGCTATCAAGGCGTACTGAGTTGGCTAACCCTGCTCCACATCTTCAACTGCACAGCCTAGGCTTTATGCTATCACGGGAAGAAACTGTGCAAAATGTGAAAACATAATAAGATAAGCAAAATGTATATTGGGAATGGAGGAGAGCGTAAAAATGAGCATTTTGTGCATGACAATATGTAGACCACGAAGAAGCAGGAGCAGAAAGCAATCAATTATTTTAACGGTTTTGCTTTTAACCACCACTTCATCAAGATGTGTAGGCAAGGGGTAAAAAAATTGTTTTCAAGGAGGCTAATAATATTCCTACGTAGCTTATCACAATCTCAGTTTCAGTCACATCTAATTCAACTTTGAGTTGCATGTTTTGCCTTGTAAGCAAACCAAGGGATGATTGTATAATTATATCGACGAAGGCGAACGTTTGGGTTGCTCACCCATTGAGTGACTTAACGGGATTGAAAAATCGTAATAGAGGGCACCACTAGATCGTATCGCAAAACATATCGAAAAGCATTCTGATAAACAGTGCGTAATCTTTTTTTGGATCTTCTGCTTTAGGCAGTGGTTCTCAAAATTTCCTTTTGCTTGCCCAAGGAGAATTCTGCTTTGAATATCACGGGTACTTCTTAACATCATTACGAGGGTTAATTCTGGAGTCAGAAGCTCCCAAAATCGGGAGGTTGTATTGGATAGACAAAGCTGGTGCACAGACATGTCAACGTGGTCAAGGTCGACTGTGTTTCCACATCTGAATCAAAAATTGAAGATCGGTTCACTATAATCTCCACTTCTCCACTGAACAAAAGTGAAAATGTCGGATTCAGCTGAGAAGCTATGATTAAGTCAGCTGCTCAAGAAAATGTCGGCGGAAAACATTACTGCATCAGGGTCTTGAAGCAATTAACACAAGAATTGTTAACATTATTTTTCGTTTTTTCGTAAGCATGTGTATTATCACATTTATGTTCGAGAGGCTTACCTAGCTCATACAACACAGTACAGTCTTTAGTGATGTAAAAAAGAGAGATTCACAGTCAGAATCAAATAGTGATGGAAAAAATCATAGGACTTAATCGGCTCCTTAGAGAAAAAGCAGCGCAGAGACTCAGCTCTTGCGTTCATACAGCTACACTTACAGTGATATTTCTGTTCATTAAGAGTGGTGTTTCTCAGGATTGCTTTTTCTTCCTTGGTAATTTCCGTTCCTGCTTGCTTGGGAGAACTTTTCTTTGGTATAAGATTAGCAGTAAGCATCTTTTCCAACTTGATAATAGGCACTTCGAAGAGGCAGCTCCAAAAGAAAGCGAACACATAGGAGACGACAACTGTCGGAATACCCGCGTATATGTACTGTAATTGCGCTCAACGACAAATATAATGTCTTCAGCGCGTACCGATCGCCAAATTGAGACGAAGTGTGATGGCCGATCATCTAAGTTAAGAATGTATGTGATGAAGAAAAGTGCACGATGTATCCGCTATAGGAAAGTCTGCCCAAAGGCTGCCACATTGGATGGTCCATGAATTCAGCGATGATGCCTAGAACACCAAATAAATATGAATTTGTGGGATCGTAATTCTATCGCTTTTTTACCTCCCCATCCCAAATGATTCGCTATAACGACCCAAGATACTGCTATTGACCAACCAAATCTTGAAAAGTTATTGTAGGTTCCGCCGTAATTCAAAGGCTGTCCACCCTATGTTGAGGTTCTTAACGCCAAGACGGTACCGCCCTCTCCGTCCACCCTCGCCCATCCGTGCGCGCCCATCCAATCACAGTTCCGGAAAACCGGCCTGAGTTTTCCGGAACGGGGATTGTCGAGGTTTTTAAAGGCACTAGATTTCATATTCGGAATCAGGGACATGAGAAGGTGCAGAAACAACAAAACGTGGAAGTTGTGAATCTGGATGGACGGTGCCTTTAAGCAGTCCTAACAAAAATCTATTTCCTGCCCATATCATAACAGAAGAGCAGACAGAGTGAAAAATGGTCTTGAATTTGTTAAATCATTTACCTCCAGTAATTCTCTCCTTTTATGTATTGATGCGGACCGTAGAGAGATGCTAATGCAGTTACTGCAGCCAGTACCCATAGAGACACGACAGATAACTGCAAGGTGCATGAATAACAACATCACGCCTCTACAGAAGTTCTACATTATTTAGTTTTGGTTTTTTCCCAGAGGCAAGGAAATATCCAACTGCAATTCCGATCAAGTATGGCGTACAACGACTCCAAGGCTTCTGATAATACAGACTAAAAAAGTCTGTCATCTTTCTGAAAAGTTGGGAACATCCTACGACAATATAGCTTATAAGAATTACTTACGATCCAAAATTTTCTGCATCATTCATCGCGAAAGCTGTCATCACGATTGCAGAGAAGTTATGTGAGATAGTGAGATAGTATACATATGCTATGCTAGCGGCTATGCACAAGCATATTAGTACACCAGTGCAAGCCTCTGCTTCGCAGAGGCTTGCACTGGCCCTACTTTCTGTATGTCTTATTCATTCCCGCATAATAATGACATTGAAACTCACCGCGCTATGCAGCCTATCACGAATGATTTGTAAGCAACTACTTATTCTGAGAGCTTTTTTGTGTGAAATCAGTATTTACCGTGGATGAAATTTTCCGAGAAGAATAAATGCAAGTTTGAACCGGTTTTTGGACTTTTTATAGTTTGGTGACCACCGTAATAAAGATGATCACCATGGGCCACATCTCTGTGCAAAATCTTCTCAAGTGATTAGGTTAAATCTTGGCAAATTGAACATTTACGCAACTATCTTTTTCGACGCCATTCTTGTAAACTAATCAACTTTAGTTCAATTTTTTGGGCTAAGGTCCATGGCTTGCAAATTAGCTTGTTGATCATATCCATGACTTTGCAAAAGATGGTGGTACAGGCCCAATTTTGCTGGCCAGAGGCCAAGTGGATCCGTTTAAGGCTCAATTTTTGAGAGATCCACTCAACGAACCCGCTCGCGCTTTTGCATAGCGGACTTTCATGCGGCTAGCATGCACCGTACAAAATTTGGGCTTAGGAAGTTAGATGGAACTCGCTCTACGAATTTCGTAACGGACAGACACACACACAAAAACACTTAAACAACCCTTAGTCCGTTATTATAAGTCATGATAGCCTGAACTATTGTTGTTCTCTGTGTTTTGCAACGTTTTGAGTACCGGCGATCCACGACATGTACAGTATAATGAGAAAGACTGGAGCAACAAGGTTGAGCTGAGTATCAACAGCGAGGTACCACGTTATGCCGTAACAATTCTGAAAAAGTGTTTAGCAAATGGGGGAAAGCAGATGTTAGTAGGCAGACCTGTGTCATATCAAAAAAATTGTTGATACAAAGAAGATTACGCCACCAATACTTTTCACATGGTTGGTATGCTGTGGTTAATGTGCCCGCCGCTGCCATAGCCCACGGTCCATTGATAAGCGGAGTCAGAGTCACATAGAACCATATAAATACCATTATAGGAAACGTTAGTCTGAAATAAGTGTAAATATAGCGTTAAAGCCTGGATGAGTACCTCGCGCGTTCTCTTTCAAAGTCTGAGCATCTTTTTCGCTAACACACAACAAAACTCCAAATACATAATTTTATTGAGTTTCTGGTTGTTAATGTAATTTCGTTATCGTTTACACAAATTGCAAAAGTTGTACAGTTTGGACCTTTGAGGTTGCTTCAAGCTACAACACTGACCGCGATTGCGCTACCCGAAATCACTGCACTGGCTCATTGGCAGCAATGCAGCAGACAATGCTTTTTTATTATCGTGATAGTATCGAGTTAATACATGTTTTTATGTAAAGGAGTGTTTTTTGAGCAGACAATGCCAGTTAAGATGGATAAATTTTTGGGGTTCTTCTTGAAGTATCCGTTCTGTTACCTGCTCTGCTCATATTCCATTCTCCTGTACGCGTAATGATTGGCAGAATAATAGTTGATAAAGCGACTATATTGTACAACAATGCGCACACGCTGGCGACTTAACAATTGCAAGACATAAGAATTTAGATAAAGCCTAGCAGGTAAAATGGCAGTTAAAATCAGATTCAGACCTCCAAAGCGTTCACCACAAGTGGCAAGTGGCAATTTTTTTTATAGAATTGAGGTATATTCATTTCGAACGAACTTACGGCGCTGCGTAGTTTGCGCTGTTCGCGTGATTTCTCGGAATTCATGGAATGTACGCGAATTGGGGATGCCGCAGAAATTTGCGACATTTTCGGAAATTTTATACGGATAAGCGGTATTGTGTAAGGGCTCTTCTCACAGTTTCCTTACCCTCCCCGAGGGTAATGCACACGCGAAAGGGCGTTAGTGACCACGGCCTTTAAAAAATGTGATTGCTACGTTCCAAATGTGCCATAACCTGCTGAACTTTCCTTTAAAGGAGGTTATGAGCGTTTATGACTTAGATTGCCTCGTCCAAGGAGAAGTATGATTGAGGAAGCGCTGTAAAGGTGATGTTAGCATTTTTGAATATGGAAATCCTTTCGTACCTGACATAACGATGCACGTAAAACATAATCCACACCACGGGATTCCTCACATATGCAGCAGTGGGCCTGGATTTGAACAGGTAGGAAACCAAGATACCAGATAAAAGGAAAAACGTATCCACGGAGAAGAACGCATTTAAGATCGTAGTTGATAGAAAGGGTTAAATATTATCAATAAGGCTCCTAGTGTATCTAAATTGCGGCATTGGTCAAAATCTTTACTGTGACATCTGTAGAAATTGAACGCACCGCTGGCTGTAGCATCCATAAGTACATGACCTGCTACAACCCATGTCATTGAGAGAAATCGAATTGATGCTAATGATTTGATGGTCCCTTTCTTATAAGGATTCACGCCCATAAGTTCGGAGCCGTTAGTATATATCGAATAGGCAAGAAACACGCGCATTCCTTAAATCACGAAATCAATCAGTCAATGCTTGTTGTTTGTCTTTGTCCTGATAATGTTAAATATAGTTCCAAAACAAAGTTCAGGAGTCGAAAAAAATAAGAATTGCGAGAAAAGCTGAAGAACCATATTTCCAAAAATTTGCTTTAAAAAACCTACGACTAATTTATAGCTTTTTGTGTTTTTCGTCCCTATTGAAGCAGATATTAGATCGTTGTTCTCTGTTTCTCATATCAACATCACATCAAGGATGGGTATGGATGGTATGTGGATGGGTACTATGTACTTCTAAGCACTTCCAGTTTTCGCTATATGATAGGGCTTATAGTACAGCATACAGGAATTTGTGGCAATAAGTTTTTCTTTTCACGTATGTACAGTTATCTAGTCCACCGCAAGAGTTTTTGTGAATGCTTGAGAACATCTCATATTATCAATATCGTGTCGAATGCTTCAACGTTAAATTGTTAACTACAAGAAAAGCTTTGTCAAATTAATCAGTTGAAATATATGCGCCTTAGAGCAATGCTTCCGTATCACTGACAGTGAGATGCATATGAAAGTTGTTGTGATGTTGCAAATGAAAGATTCCATTTTATATACAGGGTGTCCCAAAAAATGAGAGCAATACTTGATTGCTAATAACTCTCTTGCTTTCGCGTTCTTCGTTGAGCTTGCGGTGCCAATCTGTAGAGCGAGCTTCAATTTACATTAGATATGTATGGAACGATCATCAATCGCTCTTCATTACTGTAGGATAACGATAAACACTTCGAGAAGGATTTTAGGAAATTAAAGGCGATGTTCGCCTCAGAAGGAAAACCAAATAAGACAGAAACTCTTGTACTGGACAAATTAAAATCGCTGATTCAATTGTGAAAGTTGCACTTCATTATAATGCTTCTTTTATAAGTTATTTCAGGTTTAAGATAGCGACTGTTTTTTCAGTGTTCGTCGGAAGTGTGACTGCACCATTAAAAGAGCTCGAAAAATGAAAAAAAGTTATTTAGTGAAATTAGCACGCCTGAAGGCCGTGCTACACAAATTTCTGTATTTTTTGAAATTTTTTCACTCAGGAGCCTATTCCAAAGTGGCGTTATATGCTGAAAGTTCATACCGTAACGCTACAGCAACGAAGATAGATCGGAGATTCGTTTTATGCTGTAAGCCTAAGCTGAACCTCGCTCTACAGAATGGTACCTCACGCTTGGTGAAAGACATGCAAGCAAAAAAGTTATTAACAACCAAACAGTGTTCAAAATTTTGGGGCACCTTGTATGTTGAAACTCTCGTCTTGGAACTTTTTTGATGTTCAACTTGATAGAAAATGGAAGGCAGTGATAGGCTGAAAAACGAACCACACTCACACGATGGAATAAATTTGCGGCCCTTCAAAACTTAGATTAATTTAGTACTCAAATTCGCTTTTGCGGTTAGTCATTCTAATGGCAATGCCTTCATTATATGTTTGATGGCTTTGGCTTCAAACTCCACGAAAATTGCAAGATTCTTGGGATTATTCACAAATGAGGATAAATTACTTGCATAAATTTAGACAGCGTAGACCATTTTCAGATATTGCAGCAGGTCAGAAAATGAGCTGAAAGCTGCAGTTAATTATGATATGACAAACTCTTTAGAGCAAATCTTGTTTGATCTCTCTTCAGCTCATTGCGATCAAGAACAAAATGTCTGTACTAAGATTTTAGGCGCATAGTGTATATCGTGAAGCCGGTATATCTTCTGGGTTATATTAGTCAGTATTAATGTTTAAACTATGCGCCGCGAGGGTGGATACATTGAGAGCGTTTTGCATTTATTGAGTAGTTATTGTTGTAATCAAATTTCAAAAAATCGACTGCCTATGTCACAAAGAAATCCAACTAGTGCAGCTGATTCTAGCGGACAAAATGTTAACTAAGGTTTTCTCCCAAGGTTGGATTTCGTTTTGTTCACTATCGCACAAAGAGTAACCAAGAGTGGTATAGTATTGCTGAGTCGGCATCATCACTATGCGTATAACCTAAAAACGCTACGTTGTTTCTTACCTGTACCATATACTTTATCCTTGTAATATGTATCCAGAATATAATCAGTGATAGTAGCAAGGATTGCCCAAATCGTAAAGAAAGCCATAACGCAGCTGAAATCGGTAGATGAGCATGCAATTGTAAAGCTGTGTGATTTTGAGAACCTCACGGCAGCGGCGTACCCAGGATTTCGGCTCGGTAACTTTCAAAAATTTCGCGACCTATTCTCGGGGGGGGGGGGGGGCACCCCCCTCCGGCCCCCCCCCCTCCCCCCTCGGTACGCCACTGCCTCACGGATGCTATGAACTTGAATATTTTGTAACGTGACGCTAGCGCTGTCTATTGTTCCCAAAACTCGGTAGAAGACTATATGTCGCCGAAAGTGGGAGGATCCCGCGCGGACGATGCAACAGATACTCAGGATGTGCATGTATCGGAATATGTAATTTGCAAATGTCCAAGGGGACCTCCCACTTTCGGCGACATATAGTCCCCTATTCCAACTCTGAAAGACTCACACAAAAGTCGCAAGGTGAGCGGAACTTATTGTTAGAAGCATCCTGAGTTTCAAAAATATCGCATTGGTAGCATAGCTTACTAAAGCACAGCAAAACTGTATAGAATGCTTGGCTTCCGAGTGCTAAAGATGTATGGGACTTGGTGCTGAGTTGGAAAAAAATTTGAAGATGTTAGGTATAAGCAGTTTAAAAAAAGTGACATGTTCTTTCGGAGTGCTCGGCTAACGCCGCTAATCTTTATGAAAATTTTTGCCACGCCACTCCGAATAATGCTATGTAGTGCTCGGCTAACGCCCCTCTATATAATGCTATGCTATGCTGTGCTCCCCTCACTGCTATGTAATGTGTAAACGAATTATTCTTGAACCTCTATTTGCGCCACTTGAGGACATATCACAGGGTGCACCAAAGATGCCGGCGCCAACACTGCAGCAGTGCTCGAAAAAGCCAAAGAAAAATAGAATCGATATTATGTCATAGAATGACTTGACTGTACTAGAAATTTCAGAAATTCGAAGGCCTTTGTTCAAAAATTTTAGAAACAAAAGAGTCGAATTGGTGGTTTAAAACATCTTAAAATGTAGATTTTGCGTTCAAGTTTTGCTCCGCAGCAGGAGAAACTCATATTTTTTAAAAGCCTTTTGAGCTTGGTTTGTAAAGTGCACTTTGCATTATCTCACAGTCCTTTTCGCATTTGTGAGAATATGTTACAAAATATAAATTGTTTTCGTGTCACTTGCGTACAGCAACGAACCTTATGCTCAGAATGTTTTCTGATTATTATGCGTACACAAACGGGGTGGAACGCCACTTCTTCCAACATGTATCGCAACAATGTCTTTGCATCTCTCTATAATAAAGCGCTAGAGATGACTCATGCATGTAAGATACCCCCCCCCCCTTCGTGGTCGCGATTCGGATGTCAACAACTTTGTCGTTATGTGCCGGTGCAGGTGCACCGAGCTGTGTCTCGTGATGGTTTGGCGCCTGTCTTAGATGATGTTGATCGAGAAACCCAACCAGCAAAGTGACTTGCTAGACAAGCTAAATGCTGGGAAGGACGAAGGTTACTTATCGTTATGCATTATATTACTATTACTATATCGCAGTAGCGAGCAGCAACGCGAGTCCGGATGGGTTCCGCTAGCAAGGTTTTGGGGTTTCGGAAAACATCAGTCAATAGAAAGCATATTGGATGAGGTACAAAAATCATTGTGAGCTGAAGGAAAGCAAGATGAAGGTTCCCAATGCTGGAAGTACGAACAATATGGTTTGAAACTGTCACAAAATTGAGATGTTATTATAGCGTAGAGGAAGTTGATACGAAAGAAGGGAGGGGGGCAAGGGGGGGAGTGCGGAAACTTGGGGAGATCTGCATTTTGACTCCAGGCGAAGGCAAAGATATACGCACGCTTCAGCAAATCGGAGATCAAAGCTTTGAGCGGTCCTGACAGAGGAAGCTCAAGAGTAGTTTTTGGGATGTAATCGAAAGGTAAACAAAAACTAGCAAAATATGGCGCAAACATTTTGATATTGCTAAATTTACATATTGGTAGATTTAGGGACATGCAGACATTTTTAATGAAAGGAATGAGTGTCAGGTTTTTCCTAGCTCAAGGGGGCCGGAGACGTTTCCGCATGGTTTTTCGAAAAACATTCATTTGTGGGAAAGAAAGTAATAGAAAAGCGGAAAGTGGATTGGAAGGTTGAGATTACTTTCGCTGGGTATAAAATCTAATCTGAAAACCTCAATATGATTAGTGCGGCACATTTTGGATAAATAAGGAACTAGAGAAACGTGGATATTTTTTAAGGGGAACTTTTCGGAAAGAAAACAAAATATGCTTATGCTAATAAGCCTTCAGGGCAGCGGAGGGGGATTGAAAACACGGAGGTGGGGGAGGGGGGAGAGTTGCAGCGCAGTGTGACAGAAGAGCTTTCAATTTCTTCCAAAAACTTTTCCAGATGACTTAGATGGCATACTTTTAGTCCAAGTTGCACAATCTCAGCAGATTTGGCTATTTTAGACCCAGCAATATGTTTTGCAAAATCTGTGATCTTCCATATGCCTAACATTTGGGGAGATAAGAAAAGCTCTGCTGTATATTTCATTCAGATCAACATGTAAAACCCATAGAAATTTCACTTACTTCCCGTTTTCGCTATTAGCAGATGTTTGCAGACACGTTTTGACCAACAGTAAGATGAAGCAATGTGCTGAACTTCTGCGCATATCCCACTTCACACACGGGCCAGACCGAAGTGCCGCTTTGCGGCAATTATAATTTACCAGACCGAAGTGCCTCGAAGCGGCACTTCGGTCTGGTAAATTATAATTCGCTCTAAGGTAATATCTAAATTTTCGTATTTGAAAATGTTGAAGTGAAGGCTTGGTCTACTTTAATGCGCAAATTCAAAGCAAGGAAAAGGCTTGCAATTGTATAGCATAAATTTGTGAAGCTGCGCCTACGTGCAGAGTAGACAAAAGGTTTGAGGTTTTATAGAGAAATGGGGCAGCAAATGCTGATTTGGCTACTGCATAAATCGTTGACAAATGCATGCTTTTGTCGTCAAGCCTATCTCGTATCATTTTATCCGGGTCCCATAATTTTGGCGCACCTTATATTCTAGTTTTGCTTTTGCAGAATGAAGAGAAGTTCGAGAAGGCCGGATTTTGCTGTAAAAAGACGTCAATTAAACATAGATACTAGTGTCATTGGCTATACCAGCATTTGTCTTTGCGAAATAATATTCAGCCTTAGTAGAGTAATTTCATTTTAGATTTAAAAAAGTTACCTGATAAGCAAAAGTCAGAGTAAAAAAACTTACACAAAGACCCAAAAGTTTACGGGGTATGTGTTTTCCAAAGGTACACAATTAGTAGCAGTAGTAAAGTTGACTGGTACATACTGCCGTATATCGGTTCTCTCCATGACCTTCGTGATGTCCTAAACGACCAAATCGGTCAGCACTATCTATCCTCCATTACTGATTACCGTCTCAGAGCAGCTTGCTGGCATGCATACAGCAATTTTTGGACCGATTCCTCCCATTGGAGGCGCACCCTGCAACAGCATTGTAAGGTCTAAATGTGTAGTCTGGGAGATTACACGGTTAATATCGCGGTCCTGCGTGCACAGCGACCAGCTGTACGGACAACTTTGCAAGAGTCGGTTCCATTCCAGATTAGGCGAAACATTCTACGTGGAGCAGCAGCTAAAGGCTTCGCGAGCGCATAGCGCTGAAATTTCGCCAAGCAAAGACTAAGGAGGATTAAGAGACGTAGACTTGGGTTCTCAGCACGACATGATGATATACTGTAGCCGCGAAACGGTGCGAAACATTGCGAGGACGCCCTCCAATCCAATTTCCGCCCAATGAGGGTTGAAACTTAATGTACCCTTTAATTCAACTGGCTTGGCGGGTGGAAGGCGGAGCTTCGTGACCTAATTAAGATTAGGTAGTAATCAAAAAGCACGCGCGCGGGAGAGTCGCAGATTGCATAGTGTACGCAAGCGGCTTTAATTAGGTCATAAAGTCCCACCTTCCAGCCGCCAAACCAGTTGAATCAATAATGCGGCAACCATGCAAGAAATGGACAATGAGAGCTAAGTTCCAGTTTGTCGTCCTAAAGTTGTTTTTCTCGCGCAAGTTCGGCAACAGAATTGCACGATATCCATCAGATTGACTATATGTAATCATAAAAATGTCCCTTACCGCATTCATGGGGGCGCTTATGTAACAATACTGATCTTTGTATGGAGCCACTAGATCCATGCATTCCGCGTACGATCCCGCATTGGTTAGCGTATACTCCATCAATCCTGCCGGAAGTTTGCCGAAAGCATCAATTTCTAAACAGTGGAGGTTCAACTTGCTGTCTGGCATAGCAGAATTGCTTTCTCTAAAAAAAAATAATATCTGCAGGCTTCCATAAACCTTCAAAAAACCTGAGATTAACATACAATGCAAAACTTGTGAAACTAACGCTTCACGACAAAAATGCGCTCGTCAAGCACAGTTTGCTGCTCTTTTGTGCATTCTCCAGCTTGCTGACATTCCGTGAAAGTCTGCACGTAAGTGTTCAGGCTTGCTGTGAATCTATTGAAGTCTGCGAGGCATTGCTCCGATAGATCCGTTATGTTTAGGATTTCTGACGGATCGAAGGGGAAGGGGCCGACTGGGAATGGAAATTGCTGAAATTCAAATAATCGCTTTGCAAGTTTGCTTGGAAGCGATTACTAAAGAGAATGACCAAATTAGTTTAAAGTTTTCGTAGTTTAAAAAAATCTGTGGATTTTTTGCTGTTTATTTCAAATTTGCAGAAAAAATGCAATATACCAAAAATCCTAATTCGGAAACTTGTTATAAAGATAAAATTCAAGAACATTAGATGCCTTACTCCAAACTCAGTATGATTTGCATGAGAAGAAGTGATTAGAATTAGAGCACAGAACAGTAGCATAGCATTAGGCTCAGTGTTTCAAAAACGTCTTGTCGTTATCTTGATTGGCACTTAGACATTTTAATGGCAAGGTGGAAAGCCTAAAAACTGTCCTTTTTACTCTTATTTTGATCTTATCGCTCTTCTGCTGGAAGGGCACTGATAGAGAAGAGAGATTATGGTATAGAAAAATACCTACAGTTCTATGGAGGTGAAAGTCCTTCAATTATGTGCACTCTATTTTCTCAGTCGTTAGCCTGTACGGTTTTGATCTCAGAAGCAGCATGCCATGTGCAAATAATATTATGTTGTTGCGAAATTAATATACGTTTTCCTTACTCCTTTTTAAAGCACTGTTTTCACAATATATGTGTTTCTTGAAAATTTTTTGCAAGTTCTGAAAGGCGTTTCTGTTTTTTGCATATGCCTTCCTAGAATTTTCTTCATTCTAAATATAAAAGGATAAATCTGAGATTGTTTCCTTTCACTCTTTGCTCTATACATGAATGAATGCCTGATTTATTCAAAAATATGCATAACGATTGTAAAGCTTTGTTCTACGACATGCTTATCTATATGTAATTTTGAAGAAATTCTACTGCAAGATTGGCTAATCATTAAGGCCAGTTCTACGACGTGTGAATATCCTAAGCAGCGAACGCAGAACTTCTACATTAATCAAAAAGAGTAGACTTAGTACAATTACAGTTGTAGATAGGGCTTTCTCACTTTCAAGCGAAGCAGTCAAAAATGAAAAAGCAGTGTTTTGCCTCCACACAAAATGTTAGAATTTTTCGCAACACTTTCTTTCAAAAAATTTCCATAAATCTGAGCTGGACCCCAGCTGTTAACCACCGTTGCTACACAATGGGCCACATGCCAGGACTCCACGACCACAATGCCCTCTTCGTCGTGTTTATGGATGTACCCTAAAAATCTAGTGCTAAAGTGGCACCGTGAGATTAGGAAGTAAGAAGTGGCGGTAGATACAGGGTTCCTGCTAAGTAACGTGGCAAAAGTACTCAACTGGTAAATGTCGGGAGAGGCAATTTTTCGCTAATTTTGCGCGGATGGGAATAATGACCCGTTTCTTACACAATGAGCACAGTGTGGACCATCCTATTATATCTCAGAACAAACTATGCATTGAATAAAAGCTCTTCAGTTTCTTGGCATCTTAGAAATGCCGAAACCTTCCCTGTAATGGTTACAGTATGCAAAAGTATACTTTGTATAGCCAATGGTGTGCTGCCCGCAGTAGCCTTTATAGCGTCCAGAAAGGAATTTTGAAAAAAATTTATGTCGACTCAAAATGCAGATTCCAAAAACATACATTAGTGCGTCAACCTAATACACTAGATTGTTGCATAAGCTCTATACGTTTTTTGTTGTTTTGTGTTTGGAGCTGCTATTCTGAGAGACTGCGTCCTCAAAGCGGTACTATTTGTACCGAAGGTGTTCTTCTTGCTCTTTCTGTTGCATATCAGTTCTTGATAGAATCCTTTGCACAACGGAATTACAGGCCCAAAAAGGGAATGGTCAGAAGTCGAAGTGTCAAAACCCAACAAGCTGTACACCATTCAATGCAGCATAAAACGCTGACTTTGAATCTGTCTTCCTTATCTGCTTATCGCTTCTGTGGACGAAGCTATTAGCAGTTTTATTGCGGAAAAATTTTACATAAAAATTGCGAAGTTGAGCACAATGTTGCACTTTCAGCTCAGCTTCAAGCTTTGAGAATTTGAAGTAAGTAAGCTGCATGTTTTGACCCAATATTAAGCCGAACGTGACCTGCACGACAAAATTTTCACTTTCACGCATAATTTCTAAGGAAAATAATGGCCTTTAATGGCTTATAGCTTCGTCAGAATAGCGATAAGCAGATAAGGAAGATAGATTTAGAGTCAGCGTTTCATACTGCATCTAACTTCGATATCTGACCATTCCCTTGTAAGATACCATCGATATCTGACCATTCCCTTGTAAGATACCATGTGATCAAGATGCTTTTTCGCTTGATAAATATAAAGAAAGAAAGAAAGAAAAAAAGGAAAACCTCCACGAAAGAAAACCTTTATGCTGCGCCTTTCACGCCAAGCCTTGTAATGAGGATGTAACAGGCTATGAAAAAAACAATCTTGTATAAAAATTAGTTTTGAATGAATATAATTTACACTAGTCCTGTTCTACAAGCAGAATTCACTATGAGTCAGAAGTCGAAGGCGCCAATGTAAATCAAGACGTAGTAGGGCTCATCCAGCAATTACTTTTCACCGCTCGGCAGTTGCAAAAATGCGTTAATCTGCAAATAGGCTATACGTCTACTAGAGCGAAGTCAAAAAACGGCTTTTTTCATTTGATTAAACGAATCTTCCGCATCCAAGAATCCATAAGCTTTTATTGGGCAAAGGCTAATTTTTGAAATATCATCTGTCTACCGACGCTGCATAGTATGCCGTAAGTTCTTATAATGGAGCATTGTCACGACAAAAGCTTTGAAGGATTACATTGTAAAATTTTGAGTTTTTGGTTCTTTGACAGGATTTTCGCGCTTGGTACATTTTGATCTAGGTAACTCGATACACAGAAACTAAGATTACCAAAGAAATTGTTTTGATATATGATGTCTCGGATTAGAAAATACAAATCAATTAAAACTCAGTAAGCATAAGGAAGCCCTACTAAACATAATGAGTATCATTTTAATTAGCACGTTAATGACTCCCGTAGTCCAAGTTTGAAGGCAGCGTACGCAAAATTTCGCCTCCATGTTTTTGTTCGCCTTCATGTTTTTGTCATCCTGAGGCTTTCCCGTGATCACAGTTACGAAATTCAAACTCTCCGAACCCCCTTTCTTCAGAGGGCGGACGAGTTCCAGATTGCTCTCCCCGTCGGCATGCCGGCGAGGAGCAGCTGCAATTGCAACTGCGGCGACGCTTACAGCTTACGCTGTCACGGAATTGTCCGAAAGAGGAGGAGCACAAAAAGGAGCGGAGCGCAAAAGGAATCAAGCGCGTTCTCCCCCTTATAAGCAACGAAACCGGATCAACGCAGTTGATCCTCTGAGTCTTATTTGTATAGAAAACTAGGTAGCATAGATCCTGGGTGTACGCTGCCTTTGAGTAAATTCAGAGGTTTCCAAATATTGAGTCACACTTAAAATGGTCATTTTCGAATATGCTCGGAGTCATTTTGAGGATGAGTCAGCTACTTTTGCTAGCGTGAAGAAAAGGCTTGGTAGTTTCTACGATAAGAAGCCTAGATGTATGAAAGTTTTAAAGATAAGTCAGCGGGGTGTGCCACAACCCCTAAAAAGGGTAACAGCCTCCATTGACATCAAATCACCACATCATCATCAAGTAACTTCTAGAGAATATCATACATATTTCGATAGCCTAAATCTCGTAGCTTTCATAGTAGTAATTTGAGATTGATGCGTCCTTTTTAGACTTTGTAACAGTGCCGAACGCGCTTCCATTGAAAGCAAAAACGGGACAAACAAAATTTTGGCTGGCTCACAATCACAGTATGTTGTTTGATTATCCCTGAGGAGTCCTTTGTATTGAGTGCAGGAGGACTTAGCTACCTCATTTTTGAATCAAAGTTAATCAGCCTGAACATGACTATGTCACTCGCTTGGCCTAATATTTGGATACCTCAAAATCTGCTGAGTACTGGTCGACCTGTCAACTCCAGAAGGCACTTCGTTTGATCCAATAAAATTTGAACTGATGTATTTCTTCTCGTGTTTGTTGCTTTTGGAGAACCTTGTGTGTATTTCAAATAAATAAATAAAGGGGTTATTTGACATGCTGACACTACGTGTTAATCATTATGCTTAGTACGGTCTCATGTTATGCCTATGGTAGGTAGAAGATGGTGCAGGAGGGTTCAGTGAGAAAGATACTAAGGCCCGTATGCACTAACATTTCTGCGGCGAGGGGAGCGGCGTCCCCCGTTATGAAGGGACCGCGTGCGGGCGCCGCTGCGGCTTTTTCATCATTGGGGACGCCGCTCCCCTCGCCGCAGGGATGTTAGTGCATGTGGCCCTAAGAGAAGGGAGTCGTCCGGGTGCCACGCCCCTGTGCTCGACCATGGCTTCCCAAACTTTCAGACGACAAGAGTCGACTTTCATATTAATCAAACCTCCTTGCAGTCGAATATCCCTTCTGTGCCTTGTTAGATGTGTAATTTTTGATGAGATGGTTTTTGAAACTGTAATTCTGTTGAGGTCGTTAAAGGCACCGTCTAACCAAATTCTCGACTTCCATATTACGGGCTTTCTCATTTTTCTTTTTCCGAGTATTAAGTCGAGAAACCCTGAAAGCCGACCATTCCCGTTCCGCAGAAAGCCGAGGACGAGATCTCGGAAACGGTGATTGGTTGGGATGGGCAGGACAGCGTCACGCCCACTCAAAAGAGAGGAGTCAACATGGCGAGTTTGCCATCCGAAGCTATTTTCAAAGCAACTTTTTCTTTTTGAAAGCACCTTTTGGCAGCCCGAGCGGGCAAGTATATGTTTGGGGCTCCGCCACTATTGGGCAACAGGATCTCATCGACCCCGTCTTGCGTGGACGGTGTCTTCAAGTATAATTCTGTAAACACTGGGCCATTTGGCGTTTCTAGCCTTTGGTTGTTTACTTCATTTACTTTTTCAAAACGGGAATTTAAATGTTTCTTCTCATTCATTGAGCAGTGACTTCAGGGCCGGTAGTAATCTCCCCGACCTGGCGGCAGGTATCGTTGGAAGGTCGCTGGCACTTTTCCGTGAGATGGTTAGAAACTAAAAACAGATTTAGGCCGTTCCAGGCCTTTTTCCAAACAATTTTCTTGATGAAGATGCCACCTCGACCCTATGGAAACCTCCATAGAAATTTGCGTTTCAGATATTTTCCTGTAGGAAAATAGAAGGAAGCGCAGGATGAGCTGCCGGCAACTTCGTGAGGTCAGCTGCCGGCAACCTGCCGGCAGCTCGTTGAAATCCGCGAGGTGGCAGCTGCCGGCAGGTCAGAGAGCACGAGAAGTAGCGTGCTCTTCTGAGAGAGGAAGCTGCCGGCATTTCGACGTGCCCCTACCACGCCGAGGTGCTGGCATCTTGACGTCGGCATCTGTGAGTTTGCGATGCGGCGATATCCCACAATTGCGTCAGGCAAAAAATCAAAAAATTCTACTTTCCATCAAAAAACCCTTATTTTTCTCATTTTATAAGTTTTTTTAAAACAACGATTTTCTTGCAGAGGAAAAATCTAGTAATGCCTTAGAACCATAAAGAACACCATCTTTCTTGAAATCCTTTCTAAATCTCGTTTGCACCGATTTCGTCCCCTTATCGCACATATCAATCAGCTGTTCTTTCAGGTCAAAGTCTCTCGCGTAATGTATCGATCCCTCTTACAGGCGGCCACCTGCCAGTGCGTTTCTTCTATTGCTGATCGGATGGTCGATTGGTTAACGTGGTGGCACTTGAAGTTAACGCACTTAGGTTCGACCGCCCGCGAGGTAGCAGTTTTGCGGCTGTCTGCGTTATCAAAATTCAATGAGCGAAATAATTGCATACTAAGGTTATATAAGATTATATTAAAACCTACAATCACTCTGCAAGCTGCTGCCGAAAATGGCAATTACCCCGCGATGTGTGCCTACTTGCCGGCATCTTTGATGTCATCAGGTATGGTAGATTACTACCGGCCCAGTTGAACGCGCCGCTGGCTTTCGCATTCTTCTTAGACAAATATGAATTCATTATTTGATTAAATACAAAGAAAAAACATTCTTTACTGATTTGATTTGTGATCAAGGGTGGTATAAAAAGATGAAATGAACGCCTGATCGTTGATAACTATTTTTTATGAAGTCTTTCGAGAAGTTCTAGATACCATTCTGTAAAGCTGGCTTCAACTTGGATTTGAGGTTTGGAGCAAATTATCGGTTGCTCTTCATTACTGTAGGACTACGCAGTTACTTTGAAGGAATCTTGAGTCATGGAGAGTCATATTTTGCTTCAAAAGGAAATACCTGAAAACTTTTACACCAAGCTAATCAGAGTCGCTGATGCTAAATTTAGTTTCATCTTATCATAATTTTCTTTAAAAAGTTATGCCAGGTAAGCAGTAGCAGTCGTTTTCTCGATGTTCATAAAAAATGTGTTTACAAATTTAGAAAGCTTCACAATTTTGTACAAAGTTAATTATTACACTCAGCGCCCATAAAACCTTTCTACACGAATTTTCAAGTTTTTATGAAAATTATTTGATACAAGCTTTTTCACAGTGGCGTCATATGCCGGAAGTTTACCGTAATCCTACAATAATAGAGAGCAATTAGCGATTTGCTCCATGTTGTAAGATTGAGTTGAAGCTACTCTACAGATTGGCACCTGAAGTTTTCCGAGAGACTCTATGACTATAACAATGGAGGCAATCACGGTTAAACGTTCATAACATCTTCTTGGGACAACCTGCATAATTGTAAATGTCTAAAGGAGAGAAACAACTCCGTAGCGAGCTTTTTTAGCCCATGACAACGTATCTTTTCTAGCAGTTCTTTTCTTTCTGTACAGATGCCCATTGTCGCCATGCGACCAAGAAAAAAATAAGTAAATATTTGAGGTTCAAGATACCGTACTCTCATACTTGCAAACTTTACTTCAGGCTAACCAAAACAGCGCGAGCGACTCAGGGTGGCAGCTGCGCCAGATGGCAACGACGATGCCGACCATGAGGAGCTTCATTTGATGTTCATTCGGATGCGCTCCGCGCACTTGCTTCATTACAAGTTTGATTTTCTTGATTATGAAAACTATCCCCTAAACAAATGTCGTAGTTTATTACATGATTCTCAGCCGCTCTGTTTGCATTGAGTTCTTTATGATTTTGCAAGAAAATCTAAAACAAGCTAAAACTCAAGTATTTTGGAGAAAATGACAAATGTCATTAATTCACCTTTTATCCCATATTTTGTGTAGTCACTATTCCTCTGTGTCATTACTATTTTGGCATCTCACAATCTATTGTTATGTAGTTTTAGATACATGCTGCGTTAGTTTATTGTTTATTTAGCTTTAGTGAACGGTTTAATTACAAAAGTTTGAGTTGAGGTACGCGACACCACGAGTCAGCCCGCGTGGCATCTATTCCTAACGTTGGTATTAGACGGTTATCGTTCTGATTATATACCGTACCCTTCAACTCACCTATTTTACTAAATGTGAAATTGTTTGGTTTAAAGTAAAGATTTGCAAGCTGTTTTTGATCTTTATCCTTCCTTATCAATTCTTCACCCCAACAGACTTATCCTACTCACCCTCCATCCACTCCCCTCTGTCTCCCATCTTCCCTCGCCTACCAACCCAGCGGATTGTAAAAAATTCATGAGTAGCCAACAACTAAAAAAGGGGAAAAAAAGAAAAAGAGAAGATTGACATTTGCACACTGGACCGCTTGGGAGCGCGCTTTGCGATCGGATCAATTGCGCAGCCAACATAAATTTTTTGAGGACTGCAAGAAAGCCTGGACGGAAGATTATGCCATTTTTTGCCTGCGATAGTCAGTTAAGATAATACGTCTGATTTTCTTCTGAAAATGTAACATGGTGGGGTTTCTACACTGCATTATCTTTGAGATTCTACGGTAATGCACAGCAACCGATATCTTGTATATTTTGGGTAGCGATTGAAGTTAGCTGCGTAAATGGTGCTCAAAGATAACAAAAGATATTAATGTAAGGGAAGACTCCTTCAGACAATGCCAGGAATACAGCAAATATTATGCATAATTTGAGCGCAATCACTCGTATTTATTCTCAGAAACCTGAAGCCATTCTACTTTAACATATCTTTCATTTTATCATTTATGAACGTTATTTTTTGCTCCGAATATGTCTTCCTTTGTAGCTTTCTGCGTGGCGTGCTTGAGCGGAGCAGGAGTCTTTTTTGGACCCACATTCGCAGTCAACATCTTCTCCAGTTTTATGATAGGCACTTCGAAGAGGCAGCTCCAAAAGAAAGCGAAAACATAGGAGACAACAACTGTTGGAATACCCGCGTATATATACTGTAAGATACAAATCAACAGGAGTTGGATGTTTTTTGCTCTTACCGCGCGCCAGATTGAAACAAAATGTGATGGGCGGTCATCTAGGTTGAAGATGTATGAGATCATGAAAAAATGCACAATGTAGCCGCAATAAGAAAGTCTGCCCAATGGTTGCCACAATGGATGATCCATGAAATCGGCGATAATTCCTACAACATTAGTTATGAATGATTTTGTAAAAGTGCACTTTCTCTGCCACTATACCTCCCCATCCCAAGTGATTTGCGACAATGACCCAAGCTATTGCTATTGACCAACCAAATCTCGAGAAGTTGTTATAGGTTCCACTTACTGCATTACTGGAATCAAAGCCTAGCAGAACCTGATGCGGCTATTAGGTTGGTACATAAGTTTTGCGCCAAGTTTAGTTCACGTTGCAAATCATTTTCTCCTAGGTTCTAGATGGGCTCCAGGAAAAAGCTCTATTGCTTATTTGTTGACCGCACGCACTGCGTAAACGCTGCGGGCCACGCGCGTCGCGGCTGGAATGTTGCAGCACGACTTGTACAATGGCGATGTGTTGGGGCAAACGTTACATTTGCACCAAATTTTAAGCCAACAACTCAAAAAACTCAAGTGCCCAGACGTGGGGAAAACCAAAATTTAAACAAATTGTACAGATCTCCTAAACGCTTACGCACACATTCCATATTAGACATTCATATCAACTTGCTAAACTCTTCTCCCTCCTAGGAATTGAAAACATGAAAATCTTTATAGTTTTGAGGAAGCAATGTGAGCTGTTCACTAGTTTATGCTACAAGTTTTTAGAAGCAAAACCGTAGGCTTGCGCACGATTTCAAAAAATTCACAACTCTTTAAATTTTTAACAGATTTGTACAATCAGAATCTTTGCTTAAGAAAGGAACTCATGCTCTCTGTATCTGTACCTAAACTGTTCGTTAATGTGTACAAATGAAGGAGGTAGAAGCTTAAAACCAAAATCACTCAAAATTTGGATTTTTCGTGTAGAGTCATAAAAAATCGGAGACTTGCAACAAAAATCGGAGCAGTCAGTATTACGGGTTCTTTCACCAGCTCTTTCCAACAGTGCAAAGTTTGTGCTGATTGAGCGATCTGATTTTAGGGCAATCAGTACAAAAGGGCGATTTTGATTTATTTTGGCATTTTTCAGGGAAGTCATAACTTTTCATGGAGACGCTCAATCAGCACAAACTTTGCACTGTTGAAAAGAGCTGGCTGGTGAAAGAACCCGTAATACTGACTGCTCCGATTTTTGTTGCAAGTCTCCGATTTTTTATGACCCTACACGAAAAATCCAAATTTTGAGTGATTTTGATTTTGAACTTCTATCTCCTTCATTTGTAAACATTAACGAACATTTCAGGTACATTTGCAAAGAGCATGAGTTCCTCTCTTGAGCAAAATTTTGGTCCTACAAATCCGTTAGAAATTTAAAGAGTTATGAATTTTTGAAAATCGTGCGCAAGAACATTCTGTACGACCTAATACAATAGTTTTCGAAAATTAGCTCATGTAGAAGGTTGGAATTACGGTTGTACTTCTAGGTTTGTTATAATCATTGGTGAAAAAACAACTTAGTAATGCTTTACAAAATCACAGAAATTTCGTTTTCTTGATTGCTTAGGAAAAATTCCGCAAACTGTATTCAGTAGTCTCACGTCAAATGTTTATGCCTAAGAAAATAATGGATGATAGGAATTTTCTTCGAAGGAGTTCGGATACTTTTTCGATTTTTCGGCATTCGCATATTCTCAGGTTTTGACTCCAAACTTCGCATGGATCAACTTGGTGAAAGTTTAAGCACCATCTTGCAAAGTTTAGTTTGCTCTAGCTCTTTCTCTGGAACTCACCTAGAAAAAAATGTTGTATTCATACAACATACAACGATACAACTTTGATTTGTTTACGGATAAGAAAATGTACATTTGGAAAAAGTGATAAAGCAACAACCAAATTTTGATACACAACCGTCAAACACGGAAGGAGCACAAAAAGGAAAAATTGTAAAAACTCTTGATTAATTAACATCGTCTGCAATAGCCCACCTCCAGTCATCCTCTCCTTTAATGAACTTATGCGGACCGTAAAGAGATGCTAATGCAAGTGCTGCAGCTAATACCCACAAAGACACAATCAATACCTGCAATATGTGTTATCAAAAAGTTTTCCTTGTGTACAAGTTATACTTTGTTTAGTTTCGGTTTTTTCCCAGAGGCAAGGAAATATCCAACTGCAAATCCAATTAAGTACGGCGTGCAGCGACTCCAAGGTTTTTGATAGTACAGGTCAAAAAAGTCCAACACCTTTCTGAAGTACGCAACAGTGTTCATTAGTGTAAGCTAAAAATCACTTACAATCCAAAGTTCGCTATGTCGTCGAACGCAAAAGCGCCCACTATGATTGGTGGGATGTCGAGATGGATAGAAATGTAGTACACGTAAGCTATACTACCAGCAATGCATAAGCACACAAGTACAGATCCTAAAGCGCTAGCTTGTTTTCAGCGACCCTAAAATCCTCGGCTACCAGCAATCCACGAGATATAAAATACAATGAGGAAGATTGGGGCAATAACATAGAGCTGCATATCACACGCTAGATACCAGGTTATAATGTAGCAATTCTGTAAATAGATATCGGGTTTTGGACTGGGTTCTGTAGGACATACTTGTGTCAGATCAAAGAAGTTATTGATATAAAGTATATTACGCCACCAATATTTCTCACACGGTTTATACAAGGTGGTTTGCATGCCCGTCGCTGACTGAGCCCATGGCCCATTGATAAGCGGAGTCACAGTTACGAAAAACCAGATAAATATCATTACAGGTGGTGTTAGTCTAAAACAAGTAGAACTGTACCGTTGAGATTCAACTGATAAAGCTGTGTATTCTCTTATACAGAATCTGAGCATCTTTTCTGCTAATACATAAGTTGAAAGGCACATACATTGTTTCACTAAGGATCTCGATATCGCTACATTTGGTGTTTTCGTCTTTGAAACGCAAGTAAATAAGGCCGAGCTGAAATAATTGCTTGTTAGCCTAATCTAAGCCAATGTCTCCTTTTCAAGACTCCATCGTATAGTATCGTTTTGTATAGTATCGCCAAGGCAGTACCTTCAAGAGCGGCGCCTGGGAAGTTGTCATTAGCTTCTTTACAAGGAAGGGGTGTTTGGTCAAAGCGCTATTTTCATATGAAATGTACGTGTTACAGAGTACGAAACCATAATTTCAAAACTGCTTTCGATATCCGCAAAGCTTTTTTTGGAGAGGGGGGGGGGGTGTTATGCAGATCTTTTGGAAGCAAGGATTCAAACGCGCTGCTAAAATAAAATTAGTCAAAATTAGTATTTGAGCTAAGATGAAGCCATGGTTACTGCAAGGGAGCATGCAGATAATACCATCACTTTGATAAACTAGCTAGTCATTACCCTTTGAAGCGCCGAAAAGCCTTAACACGTGTTTTAACTTTAGCCAAACCCTTGACTTTTTGCCTCAAATAACCCAGAACCCCGTCTCGCTCCCCCCCCCCCCCCCCAGAAGCGTTTTGGGATGAAGCAGTTTTAATTGAATGTTTTACGATCTATAAGACGCTGTACAGTTCACATGGAAACTCCACTTCAAAACTATTCCTTTTTTGTCAACAGCAGTGATTTGCGGTGAAGGGAAATGGCCACACACATGCCAGAAAAATCTTTCTTGGAACCTTAAAGGCAGTGTCCGGGCAAAAACTCGATTTTGAGATTTTCTGCTTATATGGGCCTATTCGCCATGCTGAATCCGAAAATCCACATTGGAAAGCGCGAAAACGGCGAAAAAGGGCTCTAATGTAGGAGGGAAATCAGCAGGTGGGCGGAGCTTTCCCCAGTGCAATTTCACTCCCCCAGCTCCCGGAGCGATTTTCTCGATTCCGCTAGCCGTTCTAACATCGCTACCGGCCAAGTGCGAATGATTGACTTGAAACCGGAAGCGAGAAGGTCGCTGCGGAAGCCGGGAACGTGAATTTGCAGTGGGGAGGACCCCGCCCACCTGCTCATTTCCCTCCTGTGTTAAAGCCGTTTTTCGCCCTTTTCGCGCTCTACAATGTGCATTTTCGGATTCAGCGTAGCGGATAGGCCCAAGTAAGCACAAAATCTCAAAATCGAGTTTTTGCCCGGACACTGCCTTTAAGGTTCTTCATAGATTACAACCATGAAATACTGGAAGAAGTTCTGTGGCGGCACTATGTCTAACAAAGCGTTGACCTTGCCATCACTGAATTCAGACATGCTAGTGTGACGTCAATGACGTCGCTATAATAAAACTTGGAACAGGTGATAACGTGAACGTTTGTGCTGATGATTGTGCCAAACAAATCCATAATCGAAAAGAATGCTCAAAAATTATATTGTTTCTTTTAAGGTGCTGGATATGATTATAAAGCCACTCTTGGTGCAAAGGTTTTGCAGTTTTTCCAATCAGTTGGCAAGCACGCTAGAATGAAGATAAGTTTCAAAATGCATCTAATGCAGAACTTCTTCCTCTTTCCAGCTGCTAAACTCTTATTGTGTTTCGTTGAGAAAATGAAGAAAATGACGAAATATTTTCCGGAATTTACAACCACTCGTTTTTACCATGTCCAAATTTCACTATTTTCAAAATTTTTGTATGAGATTTACAAAGGAGCCCTAATAACCACCAGATAGGGCAAATCTTTTGCCAACAGAAGCAATTTTAAAAGCCCTACGCCTTGTCTTTCAGAATTTCTACGAAATTTATGAGGCAGTATTTCTCAATTTCATGAGTGCGCACTGACGTAACTATGCTTCAAAATCTTCATAATTCGAAGCGAATTATGAAGATAGCTCATTTACTTTGTAATGGTAGCGGTAGTAATAATCGTGTGTTGAAACCTCAGTAGTGTGTAGGTTTTGCAGTGCTTGCTACAATGAAAGGTTATGCGATTTTTCCAAAACACTAGACTTGAAAATTACTTAGCAAAATCCTGAAAAAGCACTAAAAAAAGAAAAAAAATTGCTTCTGTTGGCAAAAGGTTTGCCCTATCTGGAGGTCATTAGAGCTCCTCCGAAAATCTCACACAAAAATTTTGAAAATTAGTGAAAATTGGACATGGTAAAAACGAGTGATTGTAATTTCCGGCAAATATCTCGTCATTTTCTCAACAAAACACAATAAGAGTTTAGCAGCTGGAAAGAGAAAGAAATTCTGCATCGGGTACTTCTTGAAGTGTTTGTTTATCTTCATTCTAGCGTGCTTGCCAACTGTTTGAAAAAACTGACAAAACTTTTGCACCAGGAGTGGCTTTATTATTATGTCCAGCACTGTATGTGTTTTTTTTCTCGGTTCTACTGCTTAGGAATTTCCGTTGAGCAACCATTTTCAAAACTAACAACTTCTAAACTTATTGCTGCGTCAGAAATTTTCGCAAGGAAATTGGCTTATAGCACTCGTTGTGTGAAAAAAGAAGAATATTCTGCCGCTGTAGTCGCTGTACATCTCAAAATATGATGCGGACGGCAAGGTAAGTGCCAAAGAGGTAAGTGGGAAACAATTCCAACTAAAAAAATATCGCCTTTTGATTTGCGTTCGCACTCTCATAATGACACCTACTGCCGCGAGGATGGACGCAATTAGTATTCTATCGATTACGCGAGGTTATCTCATGTTTTCTAGAACAAAATCTCGATTCTTACTAGCCTCATAAAGGGTGACTTAGGGAATGTCAAAGGGCGGCGTGGCGTTATGGAGCAAAGCTAGCCGCATTCGCCTGCGGTATATCCTGAGGGTCTTTTCCGTTGGGTCGCTCTTTATTGCACCCACAGAGGAGCTAGCGTTACCCAGCGGATTGAGTCATACTCGAAATTTTTTTGTAGAGAGACCAAAATGCGGAAGTTAAACGAATTTTGAGGATGAAAAAATAATTCTGAGAAAGGAGTGTTCAAGAGTACCAGCCAAGGGAAAGTAAAAGCTCGGTAAACAACTCTGCCTCTCCACTCGACTTCTACTTTTACCAAAAACTGAGCCTTCAAAGTTCATCATTGAAAACTGAGGAATCTCTGGATCAATGTTGTTTGAAAAATTGTAAGTGAACTTCCCAACGAAATTTTTGGATTTTCAGTTGAAAGTAGGGAGTTGTAATCAGACTTTTGCTATTGTGTACAACTTCGGAAGGATTACCGGCATAGTTTTGATGACAAATCCTGTGAAATCTCTACTGTCAAGATTTAGAATTAAAATAGATTTGAAGTTATATGACCTGCATATTGCATCATGACACAGACCTCCACATGTGTTTTTATGACATTTTGAGCTTTGACTCACTGACTCAAAAAGAAACTATTTCCCCATTTCTAAGAAAAAAGAATGAATTTGGAATGAAAACACAGGTTTTCAGCAGTTTGAAACTCCAAAATCCATAAAACAAGAAATTCCTATAAAAATTTGACTTTTGTTACCACTACAATTCCGAATTTTCATTTACTTATAGCCCAGTGAATGCGCCTTCCAATTTGCATCACAAATCTGTTTTTCAAAATTTTCAAAATCATCTCCAGGCAAAGTTTTATTTATTTATTCATTTATTTAATACACTCTAGGTGTGCCGTTAGTAAAAATCAAACACTAATAGTAAACTCAAACGATAGCCAATTAGTCCCAATGAAAAACAATAAAACATTATTTCCGATGAAAGGCTCAAGTTTAACTCACTAAATCGTAGCACTAACCAATTGTAAACGGGAGAATCGCATTGGTAGTGTGTTGAATATCTTACTGTCTTTCAGAGATGAAGTTCCCATTCTTTTGAGGACAGTTATGGAGATTCTATCCCAAAGGATGTCTTTGCCAAGTTTCTTGGATCCTTGCCAAAATCTCCACACCACTCACGCTCTTGATTATCTTCTCTTGCGGATACAGACGGCAGCCCTTTGGTTCCTCCTAACCCACCCCCAGTCTGATCGCGTCGTCGCGGCCTCTCGCTGGAACTTTGCGCAGCGCTTGCGTACGCATGATTTGGGCATTTTGTTAGCCTTCGGTCTAGCGCCGATGTCCGACACTTCCTCACTTGTTTTCTAATCAACTCCAACCATTTCTCGTTTTTTATGTTTCGATCCTTATCCTATAATCAACCCAACCAGGATCGTCTAGCTCTCACGCTCTGTCAGCAGTTTTTATCAACCGTTGAGCCAAATTAAGTGATTGAACCGTAAGCTGCAGAATTTGCTGACATTTTGTGAGAAAATTGATTTTTTGCACCAGTTCTGCTCCCCCTGGCTGACTAGGAATAGAGCACAAATTCGAGTAGTTTCATAGGAATCGAAAGACTGGAAAACATAACTTTGATAAATTTTACGAACTTATTGTTGCAGTACAAAAGCAAAAAACCATATTTGAAGTATTCGATGCAACAAAAAAAACAAGAAAGCGTATTTGGAGTGTCCCGTTATTGAAAATGGTACCTTTTTGGTTTTAGTGTCCGTATCCAACAACGAATCCTGGAGTTAAATTTACTTTGGGGTAAGCATCACTGCATATCTGTAATCACAACAAACATTTTCTAAAGGTTAAGCCTAGCTTAAGGTAGAAAACCACCCTTAATGTAGTCTATGAAGGTAGATTTTAGTCTCAAGTTTCGTTATTGACTGTGGCCACAGTATGTCGAAAACCCCTAGGCGAACAGTCAACCAAATCTGTAGCGACCAACAATGTGGCAGTGCAATTGTCGATACAAAGTACAAAGGACGTCTGACACACATGTTGGAGCTCGATATCCATCAATGCGTATGTTCTCACTATTTTCGGCTCAAAAATGAGAGGCTATGGTTTAATTCCCTCTCTTCAGCATACGACAGATTTCTAAGCGTTTTGATTTTCCTAATTAAAAAGGTCCAAAACTTTTGTAAACCTTCGATATTTACGCTTTAACTACCAAAGCTCGGCATAGGTGGCTTACGGGGCAAGCTGGATATCGTTTCGGGGTAAAAAGCAAGGGCGACATCGTTTACGGAAACCCTAACCTTTTTCCCGCGCCCCTCCCCCGTCCCTTTCTCCGTCTTATGTCACCCTTCATTTTCTAAAAAGGACGCAGATTGTCATTTCTGTCTTATCGATCCTGCAAGAACCCAAAAGATTCCTGTTTCAGCAGGTTCGCCGGTTAAGCGCGCAAATTTGAGAACCTGCTCCAAAATAAACAGAAGCCTCGTTTACAGCGAAGAGAAAACGGAATAATAAATTATGATGGATAGGCAACAGGGAGTTAGAACTTTGTATGGAAATATGAAAAAGTTATGTGAACTGAAGGCGTGGCAAACTTTTTCCATTATTTTTTGCTGTTCGTGTTTGATCCATTCATGATCGCGTCATCGTTAACGTCGTATCTCTAGGGCGAAGTTTATGTGGACTTTTTTTCGAAAAAATGAAAAAGCGACCTAATGCCATGCGAATTAACCCAGCTAATTTGATGCTACCTACCTGTAACTTATGTGTCTTAATACCCGTCCCTGAGTTGTTGTTAGAAACCAACAACTCAAGGACGGGTATTAAGACACATAAGTTACAGGTAGCCCAAGTTTGGTGTCATGTGATTGTTGACGCGTTGTAAACAAGCCATTTGTTTGTTTGAGTCTTGCACTTGAAATCCGCGCGCTTGCAAAAGTACGTTCAACGCATAAGTCCTAAAATGTTTGCCGACTTTATTCTGGGACTCTGTCCCAGATCCTACAAGAACGTTATCCCCTTTGTCCCAAAAACGAAGCCTAGTTTAAACTGAAACCGTCTGTCCCCGCCCCTGTCTAGGAACTAACAATAAGGGCACTCATCGTACAAAACCAAATGTTCAATCAACCAACTGTCGGATCTGCAAAATATAGGAGAAACAGTACAGCTAGAGGACAAAGAAAAGGAAGCTTTTGTGAGAATATAAAGATGGACAAAAATTCAAGGAAAACATGTGAGGAAATGACGGATACCAAGTGGCGCATCGACCGAGGTTGGGCAAAATGCCCAGACAGTACGTCTTTAAACATGACGAGGGGCCGAGAGAGGCGGCTTAAAACTCACATTGGACTATCCTTTATATGGTAGATGCTCAGATTTGAATAATGCTGTATTATAGGTTAAATGTTCAAACAGGAAGGATCAATAATAGCAAATTACTTTGTTGAGGGTTACAATTGATTGATTTGTACCTGATATAGCGGTGCACGTAATGCATAACCCAACCCATAGGATCCCTGACATATGCTGCAGATGGCCTGATTTTGAAGAAGAGGTAGGAAACCAGAATACCAGAGAGAACGAAAAACGTATCGACGGAGAAAAAAGCATTTATGATTGTAGTTGAAAGAACTGGGTTCCATACTTCCATTGCAGGTTTCAATGTGTCTAAATTGAGGCCAACGAAAGTTTTTCATTCATAACTATTAGGTTGATGCGCAATTCTTGCACCAAGAAAACAGAATAAAACTCTTTCAAAGATACTTAAACAAGCTACTTACAGGGTGCGGCAAAAGTTTGGGAGCCTAATTTTGCAGTACTGCAATTACAAAGATACTGATGGTTTTGATTTCAATTTTATGCCACATGATGCTGCGGTCATCCTCTACAGAATACACTTTATTTGGCTGGAAATGGCTGCCATATGTTTTTGTAAGAATGGAAATTACCAAATTAGTACTTTTGCAAAGCGAAAAAACCAGAGTTTTGGTATTTACAATTTTTGCTGTAACTAGAGATGCTGTTAATATTTTACAAAACTTCGATGCACACAACATAGAAGAGGCTTTGCGATATTGTATCCTAGATTTGCTTTGCCAGGGGCTGTTCTTGGAACGGAAAATAAAAGTTTGTGAATGTTACCTACGTGCCAGTGGAAATCCGTCTTCAGAACAAATTTAAAAGCTATAGAATGCTCAACAGGCACTGGGACCAAGGCTGTATTTTTTGCATACGTCTTCTGAATTAGAATCAATCTATTGTAATTCGGCCATGGGAACACTTTTTATACTTTTAAACGATATTTTTAAGTTTTTATTTGCGCAATTGTAGCCATAATTCCGGCATGCGACGTACACATGCTGATAATTAAAAATCCAATATTTTTTATTCCTAAGCAATGCAAAAAATTCTTTTGGAAGCATGTTGTAGACAAAAGTTTGCTCTATCACTCTGCGCTTTTGCCACGGTAAAAGAAGCAGTTATCGTGAAGGCGTGGGGCGAATTCCATTACGACTACCTGCGTGCCATGACAGGTGGACTTGCCAAGATTTTGTAGCGATGCGTGGAAGCCAAAAGAGGCAGTTTTGCAATTCAAGAACTGGGCTGTATCTGCAATGGTTCGAATTATGTGTGCGCCAAATTTTTCGTTTCTAGGTACTTCCCTTCTCGTTTTGTACGAAAAAGTACTAGGCTCCCAGACTTTTGCCGCACCCTGTAATTGGAAAAATATGCTTATTGTTATTTATATCAAATATCTTATACTACATGAAAAAATCAGTATGAAACAAAATCGATAAGTCAATTTTAGAAAATCGAAATCCGTAATTGTTCGCAGAGACATCCCATCAATACCAGCTTCTCTCTTACGATCAGTTGAAGAGAGTTTGTCATAAAAAGATCAAAGTAAATTTTAGTGGACGTTCTCGCAAATTTAGTAAAAATCAAAAAACTACTTTTTTGGTAATTTTCTCAATCTCTTTATGTAGTTGCCATATGCCTTCGAAAGATTTTGACTTGAGCACCTTCTGAAAGCGCAGGATTTCCTCTTTCTATTTATCAAAGCAGGAGTTTCATTGAAGCTGGATGAAGTAGCAGAATTTTGAAAATTTTGATGCGAGAATTATGCTTCAACTCAATACAAATATAATTGACGCACCGCTGACCAGAATATCCATGAGCACATGTCCTGCTACAACCCAGGTCATTGAGATGAATCGAATTGATGCCAGCGATTTGATGGCTCCTTTTTTGTAAGGGCTCACATTCATTAATTCTGCCGCATTGGTGTATATCGAATAGGCAAGAAACGCCTTCATTCCTTGAACATTCAACACATAAATAACTTTGACGAGGACCATATTGACATAAGCTAGGACAGATCTAACATAACCAAGAAGTGTTGCCTAACCATTTCAGCGCTAAGTTCATCTTGATTGGTATCTTGTTATTTTGCTGATTACTCACAGCCAGTTGACAGTCACAAAATTATATTCGATATGCAAAAGTAAGATGGCTTTACTAAGACGTATTCTGATCAGGGTTTTGCACTGGCACCGGGTCAAGCGGATATCGTGAGACGAAAAGCAAAGGGAAAATCTTTTTGTGGCCGAAGAACGCAAAAATTGTGACGTTTCTTTAGTCGGTGTTTTGCTTTTTAAGGTTTACTGTCAACCATTTCATCTAACAATAAGATGTTGAAATAGGCCAAACTAAAATTCGGTCACTTCAAAAGATATGTTTTGAAAGACAAGCCATAAAACTACAAAAAGTTGCTTTAGTTGGCAAAAGGTTTTCTTCAACTGATGGCTATCGAAACTCCCCAGTCTCGAATAAGAAATCTGAAAATTATCAAAATTGAACCTGGCGGAAACGAAGGGTTGTACTTTCCAGCGGTTACCTCAGCATTTCCATATCACATTGACGATATAGCGACTGGAAAGAGGGAGAAAACCTGCACCGGATGCAGCTTGAGTTGTTCATTTACAGGGTCGAGCAAGAGCTGTGGCACATAAGATGAGCCCACCCCATCTATCTTCTGTCTCAATACCCCTTCCCCCCTCCCCTTGAGCGCATATTCGTAATTATCATGTCAAATAACCACCGTGGCCAGTTCTAGCAAATTCTGAAGATTCAAAATATTGGACCACCGTGAAGTAAACACTTTCGAAGATGATTAACTGTATTTCAAAGTGAACTAGCTAACTCTTTTTGTACTCACTACAAAGCACTACTCCCTATTTTCCCATACCACGAATTCGCGATAACCATCAAACTTTGAAATTGGAAGCAGGCAAGGTCTCGTTTGTCTCAAATTCGCTTCCAATGGCTGCGCTTCCACCAGCTTTTACTCAGAACCATAGATGAGATAGGTGGAGAAATTTCTCTGACCCCCTTCACTTTAGGGCCGGCATCTTTCTGATCCCTTTCACCTGAGGTTGAGACTAATCAAGGCAAACAGCTATTACAGCGGAACTTTTTGTTTGGAAAGGAAACGCCAGCTGCTCTTCTTCTCAGACATCAAGACTGCAAGGGAGTATCGAATCAACAACGTTTCGTTAAAAAACGCATGCTTGAGACCTTCTGCGCGCGCTCAAAGGGCATTGATAACGAAACGTAATCAAAAAGTAAAAGGATGCTGATTTTTTGAATAACTAACATTGTATCAATGAACACATACTTTGCAAAAAAGAGTTGAGCAAGAGTAGAAAAATCTGACCTGACTAGCGATGGATGCATGTTTACTGACAAGAAATCATACCATATCTCTTTTCACTAGAAAGAATAATAACAAACAAAACAACAGTTAGATTACTCGTTTTTCATGCTTTCGATTCATATAAGTTCAAAAAAGACCTTCTTGGTTTGAAAATATAATTATCCAAAATTGGCTGATATTGTAACTAGATAAAACTGCTCGTATCTCGCTTCACAGAGAAGCTACCAAAGAAGAGACGGTCTACGTCGATTCCTCGTGTTCTTAGCTATCGAATGATATATAAGGTGTTGGTGCACAAAGCTTTCCCAGTCCAAAAAAGTCTTGCCCCGGCAACCCATAGAAAGCCGGAGCGGGGTGGAGCAAGTTACTATTGAATATCTCCACCTCATTTTTGAGAAACCACAAGTTTTTTCACCCGACAACCTGTATACCATTAGAAAGCCCACAAAAAAAAGGATTCGACGTAGACCGTCTCTTTTTCTCTAGCTTCCCTCTACTTAGAGTTACACGGGATTTTAGCCAAAAAGATGTGTGTATTTGTCGAGAAATTTCTGCTTGAAGAATGGATAAAGGTGCCTGATTTTCTAACAGCATCACAGAGCAAGACCTTGCCAGTAAACTTAGAGCGTCTCTTTTTATTAATCTTTGTTCTTTCTTTCAAAAATAAATTACAAAATAATTACACAAAATTAGCTGGTGAGTAGGCGTATAAAATTGCTCGTATCTCGCTCTACAGAGAAGCTATGAAAAAAAGACGGTTTACATCGATTCTCCATAATCTCAGCTTTCGAACGGTGTGAAGCGTGTTAGGGCTTTTTTGCTTGCCGACTCTAAAAAGCACTTGCTCTGGTGACCGATAAAAGCCAATAAATTGGGGGAGCTGGGTGGAGCAAGCTAATAGTAAATACCTCCACACCATTTTTAAAAACTGGCAAGTTTTTTCGCTCAGCGTTCTATATACCATTCGGAAGCTTAGGAAAAGCGGACTCGACGTAGACCGTCGAATTCTTTCTAGCCGCCCTTTACCGAGAGATACACTGCATTTTATCTGAAATCATGTTCATTTTCAACAGCAGATTTCTGCCAAACGAAGACCTAATCACTACTGGTTATCTATCTGGGTTACAGAGCAAGTCTTCGTTAGCAAACGTAGACCGTCGACTTTCTCGTAGCATTGTTTCGGAGAGCAGAAAGTGAGGACACAAAATTAGTTGATACATGAAGTACATAAAATCCCTCCTCGCGTCACAAATGACCTAGAAAAAAGCCGACAGTCTATGTCGATTCTATATGACTTCAGCTTTCGAATGGTATGTAACTTGTTGGGGCGTTTTGCTTTCAGGGCTCACTTACCCCCTTCACCTTACAAGGATGGAACTAGCAGAGACCCCCTTCACCTGGAGAGGGCCCGGCTCCCCCTATCGCACCTATGCTCAGAACGAAGAAGATGAATCAGAACCAAATTATAGGCTACTTTAGGTTACCAAACTACAAGACCCAGGCTATCAAACTGCATGTATTTTGTTCGCTAAAATTCTTTTTGGAGACAAGTTAATGGGGTGTGGCACCACCCCTAAAAAGCTGTGGCAGCCACAGCTTTTAGAGGTTGTGCCACACCACACTATTTACTTTCAAAGCATTTTATATGGTTGCTACTGCTAAATCTTCTTCTCCATATAGCAGGAATTTCATTCAAAATTGTTTCTTCTGTGGAAAGATATAGTCGTTTTTCCTTAGCTAAGCAAATAAAAAGCACTGCGAAAATACTGGATTACGGTAATATGCTAAGTCTGCGCTACTACGTGAATCGCGAGGGAAGGCGCAGGAACAAGTATATTCATTTCTAGTCCTCGTGACTTTCATAAAAGTAATTTGAGCCTAATTGTCTTTTTTAGGCTGAGAAATTGAAGGCGAAAAATGGGACAAACGAGATTTTGACTTGCTCTTAAATCCAGAGTTTGGAGGTTAACCGTAGTGGGATACCTAGTACGAGCAAAAAAATAGTAGTAATGAAGGCAAAACGAAGTAGCTAATTCACCTCTGATACAAGTTAGCATTCGAAAGTGACCACTTCACTTGAGTGTCCCGATATTTGGAAACTTCAAAATTCGCTGAGACTTGGCCCTCAGGGGTTATTTGACATGTTAATTACGAAGATGTTGCTCTCTTGCTTTCAAGAGCCTTTTAATATGCTAAATGTGCGTGCACGACGATAGGCCAAAACATCAGTGCTGGTATTTTGTACAATGTGCCTATCCAACATTGTTGAATGACATAATGTCGCCAGCATCACTATCACCTCGATAACGACCCCCCTCCCTCTCTTTCTGACCCTTTTACGACCCTCCAGGTGTGGCGTGCCACATCCCGCACTTGACCCTGTTCATTTGACTTTACTATACGGTTTGTGAGGCATTTCAAGGAATTTTTGCACCGATCTAATTTATTCCTTTATCCTGCTTTATGGCTAATCCTGATCTGCAAAGTAAAAAAATGCCTTCTATCAAGAAACCAGGTAAGCACCGGTTGCAACAAATATCTTAAAAATCATATTTTTGGATGCAAATTGATGACAATCGCATATCTAAACTTCAACAATAATTAGGCGTTGAATGCTCCAAAATCAAAAAAAATGTAAAGAAGTACGGTTATTTACCATCGATTCATTGACAAAATCGTTAAAAATTTGCAAAAAAAACAATCAAAAGGTCATTGTTCTGTTGTTTTTTTTTCATCAGTCTTAAACTCCTTCCTGACATTAGTATAAAAACTTAGAAGAATAGCTAAATAGACTAAAAAATAAATAGCCGAATGACTAGATTTTTTATTTTACAAATAACTAGAATTAGACAAATGTCATTAAAAAGTTTGATGAAACATTCTGAAAGATCTGAGACTTGATTGGAGTTTGTAGAGATCAAGTTTCAGAAAGGCCATCTAGCTTGCTCTTGAATTCATCTTTGCCCAAAATTCTGGCAAGTATTCACTATTCGCGGTTTTAGCTGCGCTTCCAGACCATTAGCAAACCGACTGATCTTTACTAGGCAACCTCCTTGTCAATTTTTCAGATTTTGCGAAGAAGTCAGCACTTATAGTGTTTAAGTTTTCAGCCACTATGTACCCTAAGCTTTTGTATAAGGTTGTTTTGCCTTATCGCAACAAAAAAGTTTTCAAATTCTTTGCGTGGGTAATGACCATAAAGTAGTGCGTAAAAAAATGCGTTATCACATGAAGAGATTTTTCGCTTTCTTACCTGCACCATAAACTCTGCCCTTGTAATAGGTATCAAGAATATAATCGGTAAAAGTAGCCAGAATTGCCCAAATAACGAAGAAAGCCACGAAGCAGCTGAAATCAACACATTGGGTAAGAAAATGAACCTAGCCATAACTTTACATGGAAATCTAGATGGAACTGATTATGAAACATCACGACAACGCTGCAAACATGTTCACAGGTAGAGCTGCGAAAAAAAGAATGTCGCTTCTACCCCCCCCCCCCCCTCCCCAAAAAAAAATTTAGATACAGCATTCTTAACGATATATTTACTAGCGACCCTTCGGATCCCTATAATTGGGATAAGGTAAGTAATTAGCAGGTGCTTAGTCGAAAATGTGACTCCACACTATCTTTTTCATTTGTCTAGAAAGTCTGATACATGGAAAATTTAGCATTGAAGGTATAGACAAGAACAAAGTTTAACAAAGTTCTTTTTTGATAAAGGAAGAAAAGTATAGCACTTTGCTATAGCTCGCTATCTTGTTCAGTTAGTAACGGCCAACAACCACTTCTTAAACATTGAAGCCCAAAAAGAATTTGTACTATCAACGGAATAGTTTGCTTAGTCTCTTTTTTATGGAAAAGGAGCATTTTCTGTAGTACAAATGCTTCTCAATTTGAGATATTCACAAAATTTCCATGGAGGCAATGAGTTGCTTTCGAAAGAACACTTTGGCTGAAAGCTCCGATCCTAACACCAACGAGAACACAGTTTGCTTACAAGGTCTTTGGAAAAAAGTGCAGTGTAAATGCTTCTCAAGCTGAGATCCCCACAAAATATTCATTAGAAAATCTTTGAGTACTTAGCCTTAAATAGTTCCGACTATACTACCAGCGAAGCAATAGTCTGTTCACAGTTTTTTCCTATAAAAACACCTGCTGTATAAATGCTTCTCAATTTGAAATTATTACAAACCTTCATCAAGAAGAATTCTTTGGTTACTTAGCCTCATAAAGTTCCGATTATACTCCGCCGAGACCACAGTTTGCTTACAAATTTTCTTTTCGAGAAGAGAAGGGCATCTGCTGTATAAACGCGTCCCAATATCAAATTTTCGAAAAAAAAATTTTCTTAAAAAATATTTGGCGTTCAAGAGCTACCACTTTTATACTAGCGAGACCAGCTAGATCAGCTTGCTTGCGGAGTCTACACCAAAAAATGCTTATTTCGCAGTGTAAATGCTTTCCAACCTCAGATTTTCACGAGAATTCCACAGAGAGTGAGAGTTCTAAATCCGAGAATTTTCTTTGGAAAATGTTTAGCTAACAATGTTTCTTACCTTTATACTGCCAGCGAGACCACTGCATGCAAGTCTACTTTTTCAAAGGAAAAACCCAACTTTATAAATGCTTCCCAAATTGAATTCACAAATGTTCCATGAAAAACGAAAATTCGTTTTCAAAAAATACTTAGCGTTCAAAGGGGTCACAATCTTCATAAGCGAGACCAGAGTTTACTCGCAGCCTTTTTTGATTGAAAAAAGTGCATTTTCTACGGTGTAAAAGCTTCTCAAATTAGTATTTTTGCCAAAATGGGCTACAGTCCAATAGTGACTATAATTAAAGAGCTGCTGCACTTGTTTTTGGGTTCTGCTTTAATCCTTTCTGCGAAACACCGGCAACACTCCAGGAAAGAATAACAGGTATGACTCCAAAGTACAGTTCAAGCAACGCGCGACGATTGTTTTCCTCAGCCTTACCAAACTTGTTGACTGAAAGTCCAGCATTAAAGGCAGCGTCCAGGCTAAGCCTAACCCCCTCCGATTAGTGTCGATCCTGAATGAAGGACCCAGAAAAGGGGCATCTGCGTTGGTCCGGTCTTCTAACGTTGTCTCTGAATGGAGATAAGGGGCCTGAAAGTTCCTGGCTGGGCGGAGTCTGTATCAGACTCCGCCCAGCCGGACTGCCTCCCGACACGTATTGACATGGTAGTGACAGAAGCTGCACACTGCACACTGCAATGCAACTGCCCCCATGCAGTTGCAGCTCCTCCCCGCTGGTCTGCCGACGGGGACGAGCGATCGAAACTCGTCCGCGCTCTCAAGACAAGGTCCCAGGAATCGGATTTTTGTGAATTTTGGAGAGTTTGAAGTTCGGAAACTGTAATCAGGGCCACTGAGGCCGCAGATTGACGAAAACATGGGGGAGGGCCAAATTCTGGGTGGACGCTGTCTTCAAAGGCAGCGTCCGGATAAGGTGGGGATTTTGAAATTTTAGATAACGTTCCAGCTAAAGCAAGAAAAACTATCCGAATATGGGAAAACTTACGCGTCCTGCTCCGCGGCAGAGTAGCATATCGCCACAGTCAAAGGCGTACGATCCCGCAGCGACTCTGCGTCTCAGTCTTGGCGGGGACATCGAATCTCAAATTGTAATGTTTTGGAAACTGTTCCCGCCGTTTTTGCGCTATCTAATATGGATTTTCGGATTCAGCGTCTCGAATAACCCCCGGTAAGTGGATATCCTAAAAAAATCGAATTTGCCCGGACACTGCCTTCAAACCCTCCCGCTGATGACCATGCAGCAACAGTATGAGAATGAACAACATGTTCACGAAGTTCGAAGAACGCGGCGTTGCTGGAGCGATCCTCCAGACGGACGATTTTCTCTGCCGTTCTTCCGCGGCACGGTCTGTAGTTTTTCCTATAGCCTTCTTTGGCCTCTCCGCGAAACCAGCTGTTCTTTTTTTGTTTGCGCCTTCTTGCGGTTAAATATACTGCAACAGTTGTTCGCAGACTGCTGCAGTCCAAGTACCAATTCTATGATGGAGGTTCCAATCATCTGCATTGTAGGGCTATATTTCAAGGGAGAGCTGACGAATAGCTTGAGAAATCGGCCAACGAGTTTTGGCACTTTTCACATAGCTGTCTCCTTACCTACAAAAAAAGCCATAGCTATGCTTCCGGCTCTACTTTTCGGTCTAACTAATCAAATAAATGCTGTGCTGGGCAGTATTTAGAATAAGTAACCATTGGCTATATTGGAAAATGTGAGTTTTTAGTTTATAAATTAACAAGGACATCAAGACATACACAACAATTTTTTGTTCTTAATTTGAACACTATCCGGTTTCGGAGCTAAGAACTATACCGGTAGTGCAGCTTCCTTGGTGCCCCTCATCAGTAGTTCCCAAGAAAGCCTCAAAACTCTAGCAAAAGAGATAACCTACAGACTTTGAATCAAACAAAAACAAGAGGGCATGAAGGTAAATGGAGATGAAAGACTACATAACTCTAACACGAACAACGAGTGACCTGGCAATTGATTGCAACCTCATATTCGATTAAGTGTTATCCCGCCATGACCTCAGAGCGCGCTAGCTGTATCCCAAGTATTTCGCAATTCGTATATAAGTGGTAAATGTATAACTGTGGCGAATCCATATTTACGCATTATATATGGCCTATCAAGGAATACATAGTGAAGTTTGATCATAAAAATATTATATTCCCATCCATTATTCTTCGTCGTCATAGCTAGTTCTATGATCTTTCTTTGAATTTTGTATAATCGGAGCAGTTTCTAGATATTCTGAGTATTTCCGTAGTACAAGTATTAAACAATTTATATCTCGGCATATTAGATCTTCATTGTGGGTATCTATTGACCTTGAAGTTATACGCATCTGTCTTATTATACATATTGATCATGTTCCCACAAACTATCATGTTCAAGTCAAGAAAATTCGTTTCGTTTAGACTAACGTTGGTCTTATCTATTTCTAAAGTTGAGGGATATATTTCTTTCAAACTTCTTTCGAATTCTGATGCATTATTAGAGACGTTCAGTATGTCATCTATGTATCTATAGGTGAAATTATATAAGGCAATGTTATGGCCTAGCGTTCTTGTTAGCCTCTTCATGAATTCGTATTCCATATATGCTAATGTAAGGTCTGCCATTTGAGGGCTGCACGACGCACCTTGAGGGTATACCCTTTATCTGTCTGTAGATAACACCACCAAAAAATAAGTAGCTGGACTCTAACAGCAAGTCGACCATATATATCACATCTTCAACTTGGTAATAACGGCCTTGTGTTAAGTCTGAGCTAGCATATGTGACTTTATTGCCATGCACTTTGATGTATTTATAACCTTTCATAGATAGGCTTATAAGCTTTTTGAGGTTTGTTCTTACGATATCATGTGGCAAACTTGTAAAAAGACTAGAGAAGTCGGCCGAGTACACTTCTAGGCTATCTCGAGCTGTCGCCAGTTCCTTCAACACTTGGCTACTATTTTCTATAACCCAAAAATGTTTTATTTTTGATCTTTGCCAAATAACTTTGCAGTAATTGCAGAAATGCCTTCTTATATGGGCAAGTATCAGCTGTAGTAATTTAGTAAAGGGTTTTAACGTACTTCTTTTGGCGCCAGTGATGAATCTAAACTTAATTGGTGTTTTGTGCATTTTTCGAATGCCATAAATTCTAGGGATTACACTACATTCATCTAAAAGATTAATGTTCAAACTATTAAGAATTCTTTTGTGTTTCAAAAAGACAGCATTCTCACTAAGTCTAGTTGATACGTAAATATACCCATTCAAAGCCGACTGTTCCATTTCTTTCTTCATCATATGTAGATAGGATTTCTTGCACGTGAAACTATAATTCGAAGTGGCTTTATTTATTGAAGTTGTAATATTAGGTCGTTCCGAAAGTTCTTTCCGTTTTTTCAACGTATCATAAAAACACTTGGAACCGAGAAGGGAAAACGCTTCAGGCACTGTTCGACGCATCTTTTCTTCCTCTTTTCAACTATCATATTCTTGTGCCGCTCGCTCTTGTGGTCAGTGAGATAATGGCCGAAATTTCGGACTTATGGTTTTTACCATGTCCAACTTTGGCAATTTTTCACTATCTTCTTTTTTGACTTTTGGAAAAGCTTTGATAACAGTCGGATAGAGTAAACAAAGTGCAATATCATGCAATTTTTCGGCATCTATAGCTAGCCTCAAAACATTTTTAGAATTATTTTTCTGATGCTATCAAATTCCACTTTTGGGGATGCCAGAAGCCATAGAACATGAAACGACGCACAACTAAGGTGTCATTTGATCCGGCTTTTTCTCGTCTTTCTGATGAGTGTTTTTTCTTCTTAGTTTGTGAGGTCTTTGGCGATAAAATTTCCATAAATCTTTATTTTGAACCCGCCTCCTGATGTGCCCGTGAAATGCGAAATCTCATATTTCGAAGCGGTAAACGTTCAGTTACTTTCTAAAAATAGTGTACAATCATAAATGGCTTTTGAAAGTTTCGAAAACCGAAGATTTGTTGATGTTCAGAGCGTTTGTGTGTTTTGTGACTCTGAAAAAGTGAAGACTTCTGAAAAAGTTATCTCAAAAATAATGATAAGCCAGATGAAATTGCCAAAAAATTGCATGATATTGCACTTTGTTTACTCTATCCGACTGTTATCAAAGCTTTTCCAAAAGTCAAAAAAGAAGATAGTGAAAAATTGCCAAAGTTGGACATGGTAAAAACCACGGGTCCGAAATTTCGGCCATTATCTCACTGACCACAAGAGCGAGCGGCACAAGGATATGATAGTTGAAAAGAGGAAGAAAAGTTGCGTCGAACAGTGCCTGAAGCGTTTTCCCTTCTTGGTTCCACGTGTTTTTATGATACGTTGAAAAAACGGAAAGAACTTTCGGAACGACCTAATAAAATGTCTTTGTAGTTTTCTTAAAACTTCTGCATCATATTCGTCATAGTCAATCCGTTCTGGATCATACATGTTGAACGCATTCTCTTTCTTGATATATTTACATAATTCATTTGTAAATTGAACTCTGACGGAAGAGCTAGCTTTGTATTTTCGAACGTACTTGACTGCTAATTGTAAACTCAAATCGTTTGTCACTTTTGTAATGTCGTCCTTAGTAATCACCGTATGTGTTCTGTACTTCGTTCCTCTGTTGAAAATAGATTTCAGTTTTTCGTTCTGTATAAAATCCACATTTCCTGTGCAAAGATGTTTATGGTAAGTAATCATCAACACTCGTTGTATTTTGTACACTCACATTCTTGTTCCTCTATAAATTTCATTGTAGAATCATTGAGTTTTCTGAGAAAGCTATTATAATTGAACATCTCCAAACCTACTGGCTTTCTCAAATTGTATCGTATCGATACCTTAATATTGTTCAGTTCATCTGCGTCTTGCATATTAATAGTTTCTTTAACTATTCTTTTAATTTTTGTACTATTACATCCTTACGCAGTTCAAGCTTATCCAATATTTCACCTAAGGTATGGTTACCTCTATTTCTTCTTGTTTGACTTTCAGTTTATTTCTTTCCCAAAATGGTGTAGCAAGCAATGCATATATCTTATATTTATGTTCAAACGATAACATTGTAAATTTAGGACTGAAAGTGCAATGTCAGCCTTGAAATATCTTGTTTGTTTCGTTTTCGAAAATAAACAACAAGATTGTTACCCTGTAAAGTATTTGTTGCAGTCAAAACGTCTTCATTTCTGTCAGGACATTCACTTTTCTTTCTTGATTTTTTTTTCTTTCCTCTAAATCTTTTGTTACTGACTGAACATCTAAAATATGGATGTGCTTTCTTTTCTAATGGATTAACATTATCTGAAATATTACCAAATCCTTTAATTTGATCCTTAAAACCAAATGGATAGGCAGTAACCATGTACTGTATCCATTGTAACTCTCTATCTCTCAAGTGTTTCTTGGTATTTTCTTCACTTTCAACACAACCTAAAATGTCTATGCATATATTTTCTGGATCATGTCCTGTATTCTAAAAATGTTTAACCATGAACGTGTTCAAGTTACCTTTTCGAAAACTCGAAATCTTTATGCTGATTAATTCTCGATCGTAATGATTGTTTTGTCTCCCCAACATACTGCAATGTACGTGTGAGACATGTTATTATATAGATCACATTTTTCGAATCACAGTTTGAAATTGCTGTCTTGTTTGTTTTAAAGTAGTAATTCGTTGTTGAGCTTCTAACAAGACTAGTGAAGTTGATCTTTTCACATATATGGCACTTCTTTCTTTGACATTTACTGCCCGTGTAGCTATTCGATCCTGGATTATTCACAATCTTAAGCCGGTGTCCTCTATAATCATTTGCAGACGCGGACAACATGGAACATTCATTCAAATGACTTGTCTAATTTTTGTTGTTGGACCTTAGATCCATCGAGTTCGAGGCGATCCTTCCTGAACTCTTATGCAGTTTCCTTTAGGAGGAATATTTTCCTCCAGGGCTAAGGAAAGCCTCTTCATCGCTGGGGAGCGTTACCCGTGATGCAAACTGCATCGAATAATCCGCGCCACACTACGCCAGGGTTCCCCTAACTATCTTGTGTATTATTCTCTTATTTAATGCCTTTTAGCACAGCGATAAGTTAATAAATGCTAATTTCCCCCTCTGGGATGCACGTTTGATTTATGTGTTCGCTTTAAGTATGATTCTTAGCGTTAAAACTATGGTTCTTAGATTTCTATTATCTTTCAACAATATGCTTATATATGTTATAATTTAGTTATCTGCTAATTTATCTATCAATTAGTTCTTTAGAAAAGTTAACTATCTATAATCTGATGTCCTTAGATTAATGTAACATGGACCCTCTGCATATGTACAGGTCAACGAGTTTCCAGTTGTCATAACTATTGTGCAGGTAGCCACAAATTATTAATATTTTTCATGCCAAAACCATATGAAGACCTTATGTCTCCTCTTACTCTTAGGCTGCGTTCAGACTGATTTCGAAATCCGGGAACAGTTTCAGCACAGCGCTCATTTCAAGCGCTGTGCTGAAACTGTTCCCGGACTTCGAAATCAGTATGAAAGCAGCCTAAGAGTAAGAGGAGACATAAGGTTCCCGGACTTCGGGATCAGTATGAAAGCAGCCTTAATGCAAGAGGGTGGCTGGCAGATAATGTCGTGAAATGTAGTGGAGAAAGTTCAATAAAATACTTGCGGTTTATCACCCTGTTAGACCTTACGTCTCTTCCTGCTCTTAATGCAAGAAAGGTGACCACTATGTTTGTGAGAACGCTTCTCTTGTTTTTGACTTCGAAAGAATTTCGGAACAAAATTTCCGTTTTCGAGCGTGGCAGTTTCATATTTGGCAGTCTAAGCATAGCAGCTTTGATTATGCATAACCATAGGCATTTTCTTTGAAAAAAGTGTAAAACAGGTGAAAAATATTTCAGAAAAGGCACGCAGAAAACAACCATTTGTTAATAAGCTTAATAAACCCAAGTAAGTTGTTTCGAAAGTTTTATCTGCCTTTTCGAATGACTATAAAAGCTCGTATAAAAAGGGCTTGAATGCGTCGAGTAGACATTTGATGCAGCATTTTTTCCCTCCGTGTATGCGACATTTTTAAACCAAATCTGCTGTGCGATAATTGTTAAAATTTTACATCCTCATTTTTAAATACTAAGACTTCAATAATTTTCAAAAATTTTGTTCTAGACTTTCGATGGAGAGTAGGTTCAATACGAATCGAGCAAATCTACGCCTAAAAAATTTCAATCTTCTTTTGGAGCTTTAAAAAATAACCTTTTTGGGAGGTCTCGTTTTTTGTAATGACATGAAATACACAACTGCAGTAAAAACATGAAAGCTTTTGAATTTTCTGCGAGTTGGAGCTATCAGAATAATCTATGCTGGTACACCACCCTGATTTGCTTTGAAAACAGCTTTTTGGACTTTTTGATACTCCCATGCGTAACACGTGCTCAAAAAACCCGTTCTTCTCCCAAATAACGGATAGTGTATTCTCAAGGATTTGGTCTAGGGCAATTCAAAATAAACAAAATGTAGAGTATCATTCTCTATCACAGACGCCAGCGCTCTCTCGAAATGCTAACATGAATTTTTCAAGGTTTAGGGAAAATTTCACGTGACTGGTTGATTATACAGGAAGCCAGTGATAAAATATGCATAGATCAGAGGTAACGGTAGCTACCAATAAGAGGATAAAAGTCTGAATCGAATATCAAATATGTCGTTTGTCGGTCGACGTTGTATAAATTTTTGTGACCCATCGTTAGATGGACAAAACTTTCGAGACAACTCAATAGATCAAGAGTATATACTCAATGAGTAGAAGATCGCTGAAGCACTCCGAAGACCAAGAGCTAGTCTATCTAATTGAGAATGTGACATATTTATACTCAGCCATTAAGTTGTTTGTAAGATGCATTTTTCGTTGGTGGACGCAAAAGCTAATGTAAAAGCAAAATCTCAAGCCAAACGTGCAATTGGCTAAAGCTAACTCAAGTTCAGTCACTATTAATTCTAATCGATGTAGCGGTAAGCTTACATAAAAATCCAGAAATTCGTAGAGTATGTGTTTTTCAACGGTACACAATTCGCAGAAGCAGTGAAGTTGATGGGTATGTACTGCTGTATACCAGTGCTTTCCAAAATCCTTGTGATATCCTAAACAAAGACTAAACGGCCATCATTGTATACTCCTTCATTTTACCAGCTACCGTTTCAGTGCAGCTTTTTGGCATACATACAGCAATTTTTGGACCAAGTTTTCCTAATTCGGGCCCTTCCTGTACATTGCGGTAAAGCGCACAAGTCATACATTCTGGAAAAGGCTGCCTACCATAGCAACGTTGGCGGCCAAATAACAAAATTGCACCTTGTATGGTGCGACTAAATCCATGCATTCCGAATATGATCCAGTGTTGACTATTGCGTACTGCAACAAACCTGCCGGAATCTTGCCAAAAGAGTCAATCTCTAAACGATGTAAGGAAACGTTCTTGCAACTGTTTATTTTCCTCTATTGCAATTATTTCTACAAAAATACCGCAAAAACGCGCCTGCGCAAAAGCATTTCCACCCATTCCTCAAACTTCAAAAATGCTTATATCGTTCTTAGGAATTTTTTTTTAAAACTAACGCTTTACAGCAAAAATATGCTCGTCGAGCACTCTCTGTTGCTGTTTAGTATATCCTCCGGCTTGTTGACATTCCGTGAAGGTTTGCACATAGGTGTTTAGACTCGATGTGAATCTGTTGACATCTGTTAGACATTGCTCCGATACATCCGTTACGTTTAGGATTTCTGACGGATCAAGAGGACCAATTGGGAGTGGAAAAGGAAATTGCTGAAAGACAAGATTGAGCGATAACTTCCTGTATCTCCTGCAAAAAAAACTGCAGTTGAACAATTCCTACTCATTGTCTCTTGAATCGTAAAGTTGACCGAGATTTATCTAATGACGAGCTGCAACACGTAGCTGTAGCCTAACAAGGAAAGCCTTCCTAGTCGAAGCGGTCTTTATACTGACCTCTGCATCACTTTATAGGTCAATAAGCGGTGATTCCATGTCTTCTTTTACTGCGGAACTTCTCTATGAAAAAAATTATAAGAGTGTGCAGCTGTGCAAAAACAGCTGAAAGTAAGGAACCAAATTTTTATCAAGTACATTGACTATAAAGAATGAACACAACTTACAGGAAAGGATACTTGGTGACCCCGGCCATTTGGAATGCGATATATACCACAAGGTGCACCTCGAAACGTTGATTCTAAATCTGTGCTCGAAATCTGCGAATCGATCATATTAAGGCAATTATGAACTTTTTTTCGTACAAAATTTGCGTGCTTTTAGGTAATTGAAACCACCCAATTGGATCATCTTTTTACCGTTTGAAGCTACTGAGGAAAAAGTGTGACGTTATATTTATACCTATTTGAATCATATTTAGTATTTGAGAAAAGGAAAATTTTTACTAATGATCACCCTCCGCAGTAGCGCAATTCATTTTTGAAAAAATAAATATAACTCCATCCAGGTTCTCGTTTCACAGATATGGAAAACAGTATTCGAACCAGCATTAAAAGGCGCATTTTTTGATATACAAACCATTATGAATGGCCGGGGTCACCAAGTATCGTTCCGTGCTTAGGAAAACAGAATACAACGGAAGTTCGCGTAGGTGTTTTTGCACAGCTTTTCGCTAATTTCACTTTCTTTGAAGGGCTTGACGAATTTAGAAACGCTCATATCTTCTTTCGGAGAGCTGTTCCACAGAGATGGAAGGCAGATTTGAAATCACTGTTCATTACTCTACAAAGTGATATGGAAAGGCATATAGAAAGGCCACTCCGTAAAAGGAAGTCCGTTGTAAGCATCTTTCAATCAATTTCAGCTACAATCTACGTCACTCATTTGCCAAGTAACATATGCGCTCATGAAACTTACTTTTTAAGCATCCTTTCAAGTGTATGAACAATACAAGAATTTAAGAAAACTTGAAAAAAATTAGACGTGACAAAGAATCAATACTAGAAAGTCTTACTCCGAACAAGTCAGCGTCAACCTGTTGAATAGCTCCAACAAAAATTGCAATACAAAATAGGAACATGGCTTTTGATACAATGTTCCACAAATGCTTCCAACTTCTTGATAACAAATCTTTGACAAATAGTGAACGAAAAGCGCAAAAACTATTCTTTTTTTTTTACTCTTATCATTTTACGACTGAAAGAGCACTGTAAATGAGAGGGGTAATTGCTGATAAAAACGCTCACAGTTTTGAATACGTGAAAGTCCGCGTTTGTGGGAATTTCTCCTCAGTCTCTTCTTTGTACTTTGCTCTCAGATACACCAGTCATATTCAGACATTAACACTGCAACGTGCAATACAAAAAAATACAACGTCAGAGTGTAAGTCAAATTTTTATGGGTGTAACGGAATATCCAGTAATTACATCTACAAGCTATGCTTAGCAAAGCTATTACAGGAGTTATAGATATCATTTGAGTGGGAAAAAAGTACGATACTTTTTCCGCATTCCTGGGCAAACTTCTTAAAAAAATGAAAAGGTATGCACCAGCACTGAAATTTATGTTGGGAATTGAACATCCTCGCAGTCTTCGATTAAGTTGAGGTGGGACTCTAACACTTCTCGCACTGATGGGGTTTTCAACTGCCCCATCTACAAAAGTACAGAGAAGCCATTCAGGTTGCATTTGATTTCCAATTTGGTGAGACTATGTTTGAGATGTGTATTGGATATTACATAAATAGAAGCCAAAAACTTTTTATAAATGGGCATTGGGGCAGCTGGATATTAGCTGAGCTGGCACTAACCCCTCATCCACATGATTGGCTTTCAACATGACTGCCGACACATGGAACTCACCTGAGTTGCTACATTGCAGTAGTAAAATGGCTTCATACCTCGCTCTTTCGGCAATTATCTATGAAAGACTCAGGTGGCCTAAGGCAGCACGAAGATACTGACTACTGCTCAGTCAATATCGCCACCAATCTCTCTCGTCTGAAGCATGATTGAAAACATTCCACTTTGACATTAGGAGAAACTTCTATCGCTTGATTCTCAGCTCATGCCGAATCCTGATAAGCACGTGGGCAAAGTCGGCCTTTGACTGAGAAAGAAGCAAAAGGCGATGTGTTATGTGTTCGCAGAAATCGGGGATAAGACCTCAAGAAAAAATTGCGTATGTACAGTGATCGTAGTGTTTTTGACATGCCCGCAAGGTGTTTGAAATTATGAAAGTAGTTTCAATTTTCCTTCATCTATATTTCTGTAGCTGGCTTTAACCTCTGCGATTTGAATAAATGCGAATGCTATGCTACTACGGATATCTAAGCATATATCGCAGTCAATTTAGCCTCCGTCTCCCCACTCCCCTATCTCTTTCTCGTCGTTCAGGATATTCTCTGTGCTTTAAAATAGCAAGCTCGTGTATTAAAATAAATATGTGTTTAAAAAAACATGAAAATATTATATTGGTGCGAAGTCTCTCGCATCATTTTTGAAATCATAATATTATATCTTACTCTTCCAGCGATTTTGCCCAAACTTATAGTTAGATAGAGAAAACCCTTTTCTTTACGATAGTGCCTTTGTTGCTTTCATTAGCATGAGATAGAGCAGGAGAATAAAATCACTTCAACTTCAGCCATTTTGAGACAAGCTGCTAAAAATCTGAAACTCGCGAAAAAATTCCGAGCAAGCATCTCTGTGAAGAGCTATGAGTTTTTGGGTAAACAGTACAAAACAGTAACTCTAATCTTTTTGCGTTTTTGTCAAAAATCATAGCTCTTCACAGAAATGCTCTTTTAACACAAACTTGTTGGAAACAGTGCATCAAAAGACTTACTACACTGCTTGTTCGAAATGCAATTCAGATTTTTAGCAGCCTGACTTAAAATGACCGAAGTTGAAGTAATTTTATTCTCCAGCTTCCATCTCAAAAGCTGCTCCTTATTAGAAAGCAGCACAGGTACTATCACAAAGAGATTTCCTCTTTAGTATAATGAGATTGTGCAAATCCGTCGAGAAAGCAAGAAAATTTCCAAAAATGATGCGAAACCTAACATTTGGGCAAAGGATAATCACTTTCAAATTCACTGTACCAGCAGCGCGCAAACTGGCTGATGGTACGAAAAAATGTCATGATTTCTTCTATATTGTAATTTTCATCTTTATCTACAAGGATAACTTGTATCTAGGTATTCCAAAGTTTCTTCAGGGAAAAAAGAAGAAAAACTCCTCCCCTTGCAATCTTGATTTGATTCTATGTATGTAAACATGGACTGCAAAATCTTCAAAAGTACGAAGTATAGTCTTATATTGTATTGTCCCAAAAAACATTCAGAACCCGAGCGACAGTGCTTTTCCGACCTTATGATCACGGCTCGGCACAGGTGGCTTGTAAGCCAGCTGGTATCGTTTTTTGGGACGAAAAGCAAAGGGGGTTTCGTTTTTGTGACCGAAGAGACACGGAAAATTTTTTTTTAGTCGACGTTTCGTTTTTTGGGGGATTTTGGGGAATTTTTCAGGTTTTTAGAGGAAATTTGGTTGAGGGTCAAAGGGGACTTCGTAAAGATTCCCAAAAGTCAAGGGGGACTTCGTTTTTTCCATTTTCATCTAGCCACCTCGTGCCGAGCACTGCTTATGATAACTGCCTCCTTACCGTTGTTGAAAGCGCCTAATGTTTTCCCGCTTTCTCCATCATACATTTCCACATGGCGACCGACTTGTGATACACTTCTCATAAGAACCAGGGTTCCTTTTTTATTTTTCTATCTCATTGATCTCAACAGTCTTTTTGGTATTCACGCCATACTCATTCTGGCATTTAAAGTGCGAATCGCTATCGCAGATTTTTTTCTGAAGAAGAACAGGCAGCAGTAGCACCTTTTCGTTACGTCAAGTAAATTTTGAGTTCTCAGAACACCTACTCGAAACTTCCATCGATAATTCCGAGTTAAAGATCGAAAAATTCCAAAAAATCTGCTCAATATTCAAAACCTTACATGAATTGTTTTGCAAAATCAAATGTTTTCTAATTTTGTTCGTGATGTCACCGAAAATCTCGAGAAAATGCGCGTAGAATACTAGTTGGTCCCATAAGTTCCGTCTGTTTTGGTTTCAATCGCAATAAATCATGGACTTCTTGTTTCTGGATAAATTCCAAGGTACCTTTCGATAGAGCAAATCAAGCTCTACAAGAAGGCTATCTCGCTTTTGCACTAGCTCTGACTCGTCTCGAGTTTTAAGGCGAAAACTAAAAAGATTCAACTGCCCGAAAAATCGAGAAAAATCACAACTCCGTTGGAAATTCTACAAAAAGTTTAATTTGCTCAAGTAAACACTATCCATTTGGGACGTTTATATATGCTGTTGCCGTATTTTTTCGACGGTTAGAAATTAAGAAAACAAGATTTTCATGTTTTTGCTAAAGCGATGCTGTGCGGCATCTACATAGATAGTTGTATACTACTAGCCCGTAGAAGTACAAATGTAAGTTTTCAGCTCTCTACAGGCACTAGTTTTCGAGAAATATGGATTTCAACATAAGGAACTCAGCTAAGGCAAACTGTATGTATACAAACGTTTGTACTTTTGCGAGCTACTAGTATGCAGCTATCTATGTGGGTACCGCACAGCTCGCTTTAGCAAAAACATAAAAATCTTCTTTTTCTTAATTTCTAGCTATGGAAAAAAGCACAGCTTATATAAATGTCTCAAATGGATAGTGTTCATGCGAGCAAGTTAGAATTTTTGTAGAACTTTTTTAAACAGAGTTATAATTTTTTCTCGATTTTTCGGGCAGTTGAATCTTTTTAGTTTTCGCCTTAAAACTCGAGACGAATCAGAGCTAGTGCAAAAGCGAGAGAGACCTTTTGTAGAGCTTGCTTTGCTCTATCGAACGGTACTTTGAAGCCTATCTAAAAACAAGAAGTTCATGATTTATCGCGATTGAAAACCAAAACGGACGGAACTTGTGGGACCTGATAGTATTTAGCTTAGGATTTGCTATATTGTCAAATCCTAATCTTCTTTAAAAGTTTACAGCTTAATTTCGGAGTATCAAATATATGCTTGAATCCAAAAAACCTGGTACAAAGCAATGAATAACAGAAAGAGAGAAAAATTTCCGTTCTAAGGTTTGGTAGCAGTCTTTACTTGTTGCTTTGCAAAACGCACAACCTCGGGAAAACGAGAAGTTTCTAGATCGAAATTGTAGTAGAATCCACTCTGATGCATTTTCCAAGAAAAATCACTCGGTATAAACTTCTTCATACCTAACCTCACATTTTTGAAATAATTCGTTGGCAAGCATCGGATAAAAATAAGAATGCTGTCCGAGATTGAACAACCATTTATGGCGGAATGAGTAAGGCACGAAAGATATTAAATGAAACACATCCGATTGGTTTTTGGTTGCTGTCTTTTCGCAGACAAAATTGTTTCACTGAAAAGGTCGACAGGTGAATGCGATTGTGATAAGAGCCTAAAAAATATCGATGGTTTTGAAAAAGTTTGTCGGTGTCTGCCCTTCGAGGCTTGGAGGCTATATGAGCAGTTCGACTTTCTTTTAGCATTGAGGCAACTCCGATGATTGCGGTGCCTCCTTGACTGCGATTCTCATCAAGTAGGGATTGATGGAAAACTTTTCCCTGTTTCACCGAAAGCATCGAGGAAGAGTAGCCCACCCCTGGCACTGGAAATCGTGTCCAAAGCCGCGTGGTATGCTAACTCTTGATCCTCCGAAAGAGGAGGTCTGTTAGATTCTACAAATATCGACAGCTGATCAACATCATAGGACCTTTCTCGAAGAACGTTGCTCTCGAATGTTGGGTAACCCCGCGTAGTGCTAAAGGCTAACTGAGATCCCTAATGGTTTGCTGGCCATCGACGCATATCTGTTCTCAAGTAATATTAATCCTCAGTTGAATATCTCGGGAAAAGTAGTCAATGTCTGCCGAGAGTGTCGCTCTGCGAATTTTTCTGAGCATACCTTCAACCAGAGCTTCCTTGTACTTCTCCAAGAGTACACGAGGATTTGACAGTGTGCAGGCCTCAAGATGATTGCAAAGAAATTTCCTAACTTAGAAACGAAACTTGTTACAGATGCTTTTGAGAGAGTTCCGTCCCAGCGATCATCTTCAAGCAATCCAAGTTTCCGGCATGCTTCTCACTGGGTCTCGGTTATTCTCGCAGAATTCTCCATCGATGGTCCTTAATGTTGTGAATGACGCGGCCCGCGGATTGTATGGAGCAACAGCTTTAGGTAAAAGCATTTATACACCTGCTAACACAGCCGCTGCTCTATCGTTATATCCGGAAACTTTGGCACCTTGCTTTCTTCTGGCCCACTTCTTTGTTGACTTGTTCCAAATATAATATCTTGCAGCTTCTGTGTACAACAAAGTTCGTGCAAATGGTAATGTTGGCACAGAAGAAAGAATACCGTCGAACTTGTTTGTTGTGGCTGCGCAGCTCTTTGCCGCGCATTATCAGCCGTAAAAGACGCGTTGTCCATTCTTTAGATGTACATGTATAGGTGACAGGTGGGCGATGTTTATGTATTCTGAAACTCAGAATACGCCAGACTGCCATGTCACTCTCCTTGTTCACATATTTGCAAATGTACTTTATCGACTTTATCGACTGCACCCCACATCAATGTAGTGCTAGCCAAACCTATAGGTCCACCCTAAAAACTGCCGTAGCTCATCCAATTTCAAACGATTTGAACCTGGTACAGGTGTATGTTTAACTAGCTACTGTCGGTAAAACCAGAAAAAGTCCCATCACTCCACACTTCATCGGGGAAACATCACCGAAAGATTAGCAAAGTAACGGACCTTATTTTGGAGTCCGACGTCATCTACCGCCCTGGGAAGATGAACGCAGTCTGT